GGCTACCTCCATTTGTAACACAGGCCCACATCTCTTCCGCTCCCTCATGCTACTAATAACCATTTTTCTGTTCAGTGGCCTCCAGCTCCCGTAGCAGATGCTAGTGTGAGCACGCCTCCGCTAGTGGCGCAGACCCATCCACAGCCCTTTCCTTACCCCACTCCCAACCCCCTCCCCTCCCCTACCCATGGCCCGCAGCCCCACCATCCATCGCTAGCGTGAGCATGCCTCCGCTAATGGCGCAGGCTCCAACGCCCGCCATTTCTTCTCTTTTTCCTCCTTTTTCTTCTGCTCCCGGAGCGATCACAAGCGCGAGCATGCCTCCGCTAATGACGCAGGCACCGACGCCCGTCATTCCCCCTCTCTTTCCTCCTTTTTCTTCCGCTATCGGAACTGTCACAAGCGCGAGCATGCCTCCGCTAATGGCGCAGGCACCGACGCCCGCCTTTCCCTCTCTCTTTCCTCCTTTTTCTTCCGCTATCGGAACGATCACAAGCGCGAGCATGCCTCCGCTAATGGCGCAGGCCCCGGCCCTTTCCCTTTCCTTACCCTACTCCTAACCCCCTCCCCTCCCCTACCCATGGCCTGCAGCCCCACCATCCAACCCTAGCGTGAGGCTGCTCCGCTAATGGCGCATTCCCCGAAGCCCGCCATTCCCCCTCTCTTCCCCTCCTTTTCTTCCGCTCCCAGAGCCGTCCCAAGCGTGAGCATGCCTCCGCTAATGGCGCCGCAGCAGTGACTGCTCCCACAGGAGCCTTTTCTGTATTTCCCTACTGCCGCTGCAGTGTCTGCTCCCGCAGGAGCCTTTTAGTAGAAATACTAAAAGTAGGAGTAGAAATACTCTACTGCCGCGATAGTCGCGTCTCCCGCAGGAGCCTTTATCTCTCTCTTTCAGCAGTGAACGCTTCCACAGAAGCCAAATTCTCTTCCTAGATACTGCCGCAACAAATGTATACCAAAGTACGTCCAGCACCCCTCTAACATTAAGCCTTGCTTTTTGGGGGGTCGTAAATGCACGTATCTGGCTGCTGTCCTGTTCTAATTGCTTTTGGGGCAGCGCTTTTGAGCCGGGCTAAACACCGAGCTCGGACCCCTCTCCCCAGACAGGGGGAGGGTGCCCCGAGCTCAGGATTCTTGCCGAGCTTGGAGCTCTCTCCTTGGACAGCACGCCAAATACGCATAACCTTTATTTAATTATATGTAAGTGTGAACTCGTGAAACAACATTTCACATCAGGGTTTCTCAACCTGGAGTTCGTTAAAGAACTGCATGGAGTTTATGAGGTGATGAAAAACTAATGATGAATTCAATTATAAAAATGGCAATGTAAACTAATTGTGTGGCCTGTGTAATTACAGTCAGCTGACTAGCGGCTGTGTGTGTGCAGGTCCATGAAACTAGAAGACTTTCCAAATGTATATAAGCTGTAGGATTTTTTTAGAAAGGAAAAATCAAGAGACAAAAACAGAATTAGGGTAAATCAATAATTTAATGCCATATTATACCTGTTTTTATTGTATTTTTGATCAAATAAATAGAGACTTGCTTAGCAGAAGAGACTTCTTTCAAAAACATTTTAAAAATCAGTCACACTCTATTTTAAGGTCCAATTCTTGTTATTAACAAACCATTAACCGTGACTTTTGCCTCAACAAACTCCTAACTTGCTGCTTAATGATAGTTTAGTAAGGTCGTTGTTAAGTGTAGGGTTAGGGATGTAGAATATGATCATGCAGAATATGTGCTTTATAAGCACTAATAATCAGCCAATATGTTAGTAATAGGCATGCTATTAAGCAATAGTTAATAGTGAGAATTGGTCAGTATACTAAAAAGTTACCAAAAATCCTAACATATGATATAACAGATGTGACCTGAATTCACATTCTATGATGTCTTTTTTAAAAACATAAATTCAATAGCAAAAAATAAATCCAAAATGTAAAAATCAACAATCTACTCCAAGTTCTCGCAATGCTGCAGCTTTAATGTTCGTTCTTTTAATTCAGATCTAATAAGTCAATAATTAAAGATTGTTTAACATAATTGTTTATCCTATTGATTTTTAAATGTCAGACTATCTTTCTGATTTCTACGGATTATTCATAGAAACATTTTTCTCACACAGGCATCAAAATATTAAAAATCCTGGTCTAAATGTTGAGATATATCAAATTAACTGCATTTTTTTTTTGCATATATATACTTTTAACAGCAATTGTTTAACAAAATTGCAATTAGAGTGCAAATCTCTCACAAACAGCTGCAAGCCATCTTGAATAGAAACATCTGCTTTTCTCTTCTTTTTGATAAAACATCAATAGACTGACAGTGAAACAATGATATTGAATAATTCAGTTTTTCTGCCAAGCATTTTAACTAATTTACTATAAAGTATTATTGTTAGATTTCGCCAGAGGAAATTATAATTCAGCAGATGTTTCAAGTGCGCACACAATTCCCAATCATTCTGAACCTGTATTTATTTAACTTACAAATACACAGTTAGAAAACCAGAACAAGCACAATCATAGTCATGTGTTCCAGCAGACTGTAGGATTTCCTGATTGATTCACAATTCTGAACAGAGAAACTAAATGACATTTACTTGAGCTTCTGACAAAATGTTAATTGCTGCAGTCTATTCAAAAAATATCTAGTTATTTTTTTTAATGGGTTTGAATGAATAATTCAATGACTCACTCATAAAGTGCTTCGTTTGTGGATGAATCAGGGTTTTTGAACAAATCTCTTGAGTGAATCATTCAATGACTCACGCATAAAGACATCACTTGCTTTACTATTGGATGACTCAACATTTTTGAATAAATTGTATCAGTGAATGATTCAATGGCTTTCACTTGTTTCATTACTGGATGAATCAGCGTGTTTGAACAAATCAAATGAATGAATAAATCAACAACTCACTCATAAAGACTTGACTTGTTTCATTACCGGATGAATCCCTGTTTCTAAATGAATCTCCAGAATAAATGATTCAGTGATGAACACGTTTTTAACAGCCACCTGGAGTAACAATGTAATCACATCAAGTTACTTTCAGAAGGTGATTTACTGTATAGAAGCTAACATAGACTTCAGTGTTTATATCCAAAATATTAACTTTTATTCCAGCATTTCTTTGATAACCTGAACGTTTGTAACAGAAATAAACATACTGTTTGTGTGAAAAGACTGTGAAGTTGTTCCAACGTAGGGCAGGGCGCGATTAATTCAAATGTAATGTTTTGACAATTTTATTTTTTAGAAATCGTGATTTTGAATAGAAATATTACCAAACGTTAAGACACTTTGACAATATGCCAATGATAACAGTAATGAGAAAAGTTGACCTTCAGTCATTCTGAATTTGAATTACCTTGACTTTTGATTTAAAGCATTTTCCTCGTACGTATTTCTGAACGCATGTACAAGACAAGTTTGTACAAGATGTAGTTGTAGTTCATGCATCTTTTCTGCAAAGAACAAGTGATTTGTTTAACATTACGTCATGTTGACAGCATGTGTGCTGCACTTATAATTTACTTTCCATCACAGAAGAAAAGACTTCCCTCAAACCTGTGGCAAGGAATACTCAGATTGTAGGGATGTAACGATATTATCAATATCGCGATATATCTTCCGGCCAAGAAGTGTAGTTTTTAAAATATATTTGTTTTGGGTCATTATGCTTCGGTGCACAGTATCTGTCAAATGAACTCACACCGAAAGCACAATATGGCTTGTTCCCTTCATCAAGTCTGTTTTCGCTGCGTGTTTCAAAGCGAAGCCACACTTCGTTCACACTTCGCTTCTCAGAACGACTCGTTCACACTGAATAAGTGCAGTCAACTCCTTTATTTCATGTGCTGTGAGTTTAGCACATGTTTAGAAACACAACGGCCACCAGTTATGCTTTACTTTTGCAGCAGATAAAGTTCAGGTACAAGTCAATTCACTGGCTTTTTCTGACTTAAGTTTTCTTAGTTAAAACTGTCACCGTCCCACCTGCGGGACGCTTGGCGCTCTTTTATTTTGTTGTACTTTTGCTCAATCAAATATTTTAGTAATCATCATAAATTATAAATCATTTGAAAGCTTAGAAGCCCAAGATTCATCCTGTGAAAACCATTTTGAAATCATGGAAATGGTACTTTAATATCTTTTGGCGGTCTCCTCCCCCTTAGCGGCGGTGTCAAGTGTCATATTACAAAATGCATTACGGTCTTTTACAATCCAAACTTTTTATAATCTTGACATAAAAACATATCACTGGAAAGGTCTGAGTCTCAAGATTCCATATTTGGTGGTATTTTGTGATAGAAGTAATATTGACAGAGAAATCTAGACATTTGTGACAGAAAAATGCATTAAAAAAAATTAAATGGTTTTTGGATGGCACCCGGTGGCTGTTTGTGGTATAACGCCCTAAATAAAATCTCACAGAAACCTACATTTTTTTCATATCAACTTCAAATTTGGAACATAACTTATTTAGACATGAGGCTTTACATTTATTTAAAAAAATTTTTTTTAGCAATTTTAGAGTATAACCTGTTATGTAAAATATTCGCTTGATATAAAATATAATAAAAATTGTACAGTGCAGATGGCACCCGGTGGCTGTTTGTGGTATAACGCCCTAAATAAAATCTCACAGAAACCTACATTTTTTTCATATCAACTTCAAATTTGGAACATAACTTACTTAGACATGAGGCTTTACATTTATTTAAAAATTTTTTTTTTAGCAATTTTAGAGTATAACCTGTTATGTAAAATATTCGCTTGATATAAAATATAATAAAAATTGTACAGTGCATTTTCGTCGCAGTAAATTTAAACTTCTATAACTTTGTGATATTTCAGTTTTTTTAAATAATTCCACTTCTGCAATAATCTGCCGACTGTCTTCTTTGAAAAAAAAGAGACCAACCTTTCCTCTGTATTCCAACGTGTTCATGAATTATAACAATTTAAGTTTGGATAGTGCACTTTAATGCCTATTTTAAAAAATGGGGGGGTGAAAGTTAATGGGTAATTTTGAACTTTCAAAGAGCATTAGATAGAATAATGCAACGTTAAAACATACAAATTTGTCTTTATTTTTAAAAATATTGCAATAAATATCCTAACACGGACTTCATATCGCAATAATCTCATATCGATATCGTTACATCCCCGTCAGATTGCATCTAGTCTTTACACAGTGTTTGCACTGGAGCGAGGCAGCATGGGACAGGGCTTCTTTCTGTGGTTCTGCAGATCGCTGGACTGAGTGAAGCTCCTCCCGCAGGCGGTGCAGAGGTAGGGTCTCTCTTCGGTGTGCGCTCCCGAGTGAGTAAAGCCCTTCCCCGCAGTGCGAGCAGCTGTAGGGTCTCTCTCCGCTGTGGATCTTCTGGTGCTGCTTCAGAGCGCTGGATCTGGTGAACGTGTCTCCGCACTCGAAGCACATGTGCGCTCGCTCGCTCGCCCGAGTGGATCTTCTGGTGATCGCTGAAGCAGCCCAGTCGCAGAAAGCCCTTCCCGCAGACGCCGCAAATGTACGGCTTCTCGTCAGTGTGGATCTTCAGGTGCGCCTTCAGGTTGGACGCCAGAATGAAGCTCTTCCCGCACTGCTGGCATCTGAAAGCCCGTTCTCCCGAGTGCGAGCGCTGGTGGTCTTTGAGGTTGGTGGCGCACTTGAAGCTCTTCCCGCACTGATCGCAAGCGTATGGACGCTCGCCGGTGTGGATGCGAATGTGGCGCTTCAGGTGTCCTCTACAGGTGAAGCTCTTCTGACAGTGAGGGCAGCTGAAAGGCTTGACTCCAGAGTGGATCTTCACATGTTCGTTGAAGTGTCCTTTATGTGTGAAACTCTTGCCGCACTCGGGGCAGACGAATGCATTACTGGCTTCTTGCGAGGGTTTCTTTTTCATTCTGAAGGATTTTTCCGCACTTATGAACAAGTCCCGATGTTTCTTCTCCAGGTCGCTCACTCGGCTTGCTTCTTTCCCGTGCATCAGCTCTAAAATAAACACAGTCAAACAGCTGTTATACAAATGCTCTACAAAATGCTGTCTTTCTTCATATTATTTAACACTGTTATTTTAGGACTGTGCCAAAGGCTAAGGTGAAAGTTAAACCACTATCATACATGACATCTAGTAGAAGCAAGTATCTGTGTACAAATATAAAGAAAATATAAAGATATTTCACTTCTGTGTTATATTTTGAAGGGATGATAAATGACAAATGTGACCCTGCAGCACAAAAGCAGTGTTAAGTCGCTGGGGTATATTTGTAGCAATAGCCAACAATACATTGTATGGGTCAAAATGATTGATTTCTCTTTTATGCCAAAAATCATTAGGATATTAAGTAAAGATCATGTTCCATGAAGATATTTTGTAAATTTCCTACCGTAAATATATCAAAACTTAATTTTTGATTAGTAATATGCATCGCTAAGAACTTCATTTGAACAACTTTAAAGATGATTTTCTCAATATTTAGATTTTTTTGCACCCTCAGATTCCAGATTTTCAAATAGTTGTATCTCAGCCAAATATTGTCCGATCCTAACAAACCATACACCAATGGAAAGATTATTTATTCAGCTTTATTCAGATGATGCATACATCTCAATTTTGGAAAATTGACACTTAAAGACTGGTTTTGTGCTCCAGGGTCACATATAATGTTTTAGTTCAGTATGTTGCTATTTGTAGTAAAAATTGAATTCTTCCAATTGGATTACTGTTTTAAATTAGAGTACTTAAAGAAATGGGGGTGTCAAAAACAAGTACACTTCACAAACTCCTGCACACAAATGTAGACTGCTGTCCATGCTTTCTAAAAGTGTTAACACGACTTCATCTCGGATTAGACAAAGGCAGGGAAATATTAGATTAAAGTTTGAGACGCAGAGATGAGCTGGAGGCAGTGAAGCACCCCTCTCCAGTCTTCTCTGTTAGCATGGCTTTCTAAACAAACTCTGGATGAACTTGACATAATCGTTAATGAAGAACCATTAATCATCACCAACCTCTTAGTTTCTTCCTCTTTCTCTCCGCATGCTTCTGCAGCACTCTCCTCTTTAACAAACTCCATCTCTACAGTAATGCCTCTCAGATCTCAGCTGTTTATTCTGCAGTGTCTCCTGCTTGTTTGGGAAACACGCGTTGCGTTGCCACTCTTCTTCTTCTTTATAATTTACAGCAGTTTGCAAACCAACATCGGTGCATTTCCGCCACCTACTGGATGGAGTGAGAAGAAAGAAAAACATTATATTGACGTAGTAGCCCCTGCTCTTATGACGCTGGTAGATCAACATATTATTGGAAGCATTTAAAAGTTTAAATATATGCCAGCAAACACATTTGTTTAATTATTATTTGAGGAAGACTTTTATTTTGCTTCTGGGCGCGGCGTGTGACGTCATGCGCTCAGACTGCAGCTGAAGGGAGGTTTGTGGTGTATGAATAGTTACAAAAACATTCTAAAGTAGTTTCCTGTAATTCACAAATGTGCTTCAAATGCATTGCAATATTACTGAAAGCATTCAGCGTAACGTATATGTATATATTATCTTAATGTATATATATATATATATAATCATCATCGCCATAGTAATGCTGTTTGTAAAATGCTGTTAGTCTCGGAATGAGCGCATTGTTTCTGACAGTAAAGCGCATCCGGGCATCAGGAACGGGTTTATTTTGCATCACTGCTTCTTAATAACGTTCAAATATTCTCATAATCTCAGATGTGACACAGTCTGGCTTCCAAACAGGCAGGAAAACACCCAGCTGAGATCTGCATGACATTGTTGTGAAAATGCAGTTTGTTAAAGAGGAGAGTGAAGACGTGAGTGATGAAGAAACATGCGGAGAGGAAGAGGAAGAATATAAGCAGAGAGGTCTGTGATAATTTTTTACTCTGCAATAATGACTGCTGACAGTGAACACATTCTCACACACTTAGACCTTAGAAAACCACCGGAGCTGTGAAATTAAACAGTATGTTTTAGTAAAAAATTATATACTGAATCTCAACTAACAGAACATTGTTTTCAAAGTGTTCTGGCAAGGTTCTCTAAATGTTACGAGCAAACATTCTTCCAGTAACACTAATAGAATGTTCGTTCAAAGTTCTCTTTCATCTCCTCGTGTTCGAGATACACCAATGGGAAGGGCTTCTGCGCCTGACCTCTGAAGAAGCATCCTATTGCACCAAGTCTGGCGCTACCTGAGCGCTACCTTTCCTCATTTGACGTCTCGCAACCTCTGGAAAGTTACTCGCAGCTCGTTGGTTGACTTTCACTATTCCCCATCTCTTTTGCATGGTTTGCATGGGTCTTAAACACACTCAAGAAGCCACTGATTTCCCGGAGAACTGTAGCCGTTGCTTTGGCGCTCCCGAAGAAGCTCCTGCGTCGGAGGCTTAAGGTAGCCGCCATCTCTCTGGCATATGAATCTAAGGGAGTGCAGCCTGCAGAGGGCCTAAAAGCTCATTCCACTAGAGGCATGGCGGCCTCCTGGGCTCTATTTAAAGGGGTATCCTTGCAGAACATTTGTGCCGCTGCAAGCTGGGACTCTCCACATACATTTGTCAGATACTATCAGCTTGATGTTACCCACACCCCGGTCGCTCACTTTGTCTTAGGCGTGGGCTTATCGTAACCTTGTGCCTTTAGGCCTGCTACACCTTTTAAGCTTGGGTTGGCCAGCCTGGCTTATTCATGTCATTAAGCAGGTCATTTGTACCTTTCCCTGACACGTATATTATACATTCATATATATGTATGTATATGTCATTGTATATCGGTCACATATCTTTATGCTTCCAGCATATGTGTGTTGTCAGGTTTTGTATGCATGTTACCACATGTCATGCTTTTATGTCTAGTATTGCATGCTCACTTTGTGAGGGGTCTGTTACTTTGTGACGTATCAAGCACCGCCTTCCAGGTGACGTCCTCTGGCTTACAGGGCCTCGCTGTGAGTGTATTGTGCAACCGGGGAGCTGTCCATCTCTCCCATAGGTGGATCTCGAACACGAGATGATGAAAGAGAACAATAGGTTACTGTTCCTAACCCCGGTTCTCTGAATCATCAAGTGGAGAGATCCACCAAGTTTGCCCCGCTTGCTGCACGAGAAGTGAATATGCTCACTGAGGAAAGGTAGCGCTCGGTTAAGGTGCGGTCCCTTACCTGACATTGGGCACGCACTCTTGTCTGTCAAGCCAGACTTGGTGCAGTTGGATGCTTCTGCAGAAGTCAGGCCACGGATGCCCTTCCCATTGGTGGACCTCTCCACTCGGATGTTTCAGAGAACCGGGGTTACGAACATTGTTACATGGTTTTTAATAATGCTTAAATGTGTTAGCACAAAAGCGTTTTTATACACTGTTTGTGGAACTTTTTCTGAAACGTTTAAGTCAGATGTTCGTCTGATGTTTTTTAAATGTTACTACTTGTGTCGGAACATCAAGAGAACATTCAAATGTAACATTCCCATAAAGCAACAATTCATCCAAAAATTTAAATTCTGTCATCATTTATACTCCCACACGTCATTCCAAACTTGAATGAATTTCTTTCAGCTGTTGAAAACGAAGACATTTTGAAGAATGTTCCTAACTTAACAGTTGATGGTAGTCACTGAGTTACATAGTAGTTTTTTTCCATACCATGCGAATCAATGACCACCGTCAACTGCTTGGTTATCAACATTCTTCAAAATATCTTCTTCTGTGTTTAGCAAAGGAAAGAAACTTCTTCAGTTCTGAACAAGTGGACGGTGAGTAAATGATGAGTCTTTTCATTTTTGGGTGAACTATCCCTTTAACATTTGTAAAATGTTTTTTTTTTTAACTTTTAGAACTAGATGTTTTGAACATTCAGAAAGCATTCATGAATAACGTTTTCATAACTCAATGGGAACATTCTTAGAACGTAATTTTTGTTAGCTGGGATGCATCTAAATGATAATAACCAACTATAGCAGCTATGTATACACCAGATCAGATGGCATTTTTACATTACATTTCACTTGGTCATTCTTGAATTGATCTGGACAATTTACCATGTTTTAGGCCTGATAGAAGTGAAAGAGGAACGTCAAGAGCTGAATGAAGTGGAGCAGAAAGATCAGCATGAGGAACCTCATCAGTTCATAAATGCAAAACAGTCTTGTAGTCATTCACAGAACGATAATAATCAATCGCAAGAAACATCTCAAAGAACAGAAGCCAAAAACCTGTTCTCCTGCTCTCAGTGTGGAAAGAGTTTCACTCGTAAAGGACACCTGAAGATCCACACGATCATCCACACAGGTGAGAGACCATACACCTGTCCTCAGTGCGCCAAGAGCTTCACCTGCAAAGGAAGCCTTAAGGATCACTTCAGGATCCACTCCGGAGAAAAGCCTTTCACCTGTCCTCAGTGCGGATGTAGTTTTGCACGACAAGAAGACCTTAAGAGGCACATAAGGATTCACACCGGAGAGAAACCGTTTCCGTGCTCTCAGTGCGGAAAGAGCTTCACCAGTTCTGGAGATCTGAAGAGACACGTAAGAATTCACTCCGGAGAGAAGCCTTTCACCTGCTCTCAGTGCGGAAAGAGCTTCACGCAGAAGGAAGGTCTGAAGGAACACATGAAAATCCACTCCGGAGAGAAGCTTTTCACGTGCATGCTGTGCGGGAAGAGCTTCACACATCAGCGGAGCTTGAAAAGACACATGAAGGTCCATTCAGGAGAGAAGTTACACCAGTGTCCTGAATGCGGCAGGAGGTTTTCAGAGGCCTGCAATCTCAAAACTCACCTGCTCTCTCACACCGGAGAAAGACCCTTTCACTGTCAGCGCTGCGATAAGAAGTTTTTCCTGGCCGTGCACTTGAAGACGCACATGAGGATTCACGAAGACGAGCGGCGGTACGTGTGTTCATTCTGTGGGAAGAGCTTTCTGTGGCTTAATGGGTTTAAAGACCACCAGAAAACACACATCGGCGAGAAACCCTTCGTGTGTTTGGACTGTGGAAGCACTTTCACTAGAGCCGGTGAACTGAAAGTGCATGAACGGATCCACACCGGAGAAAAACCCTACAAGTGTTCTCACTGTGAGAAGAGCTTCACTCAATCAGGAGCGCTAAAAATTCACGAGAGAGTTCACACCGGAGAGAAACCATACCTCTGTCCCTCCTGCGGGAAGACTTTCAGCCGGTACGGAAATCTAGGGAAGCATTTGAAAAAGGCTTGTCCAAAGCTGAGACAGTGAGGAGCAGTGTTGGGGGTAACGCATTACAAGATTACTTTTTTCAAGTAACTAGTAAAGTAATGCATTACTTTTTAATTTACAAGAAAATATCTGAGTTACTTTTTCAAAAAAGTAAACCAGTTACTTTGTTTTCCCATTTATTCACTGACAGCTCTCCTGTCCCCATGTTGAGAAAAAGTGGGAGTAAGTGCAAAACTAAATGTTTAGTTCTAGACTAAATGTAAATGTGAGCATGCTTTTGTGCACTTGCACAAAAAACAGATTCAGTGTTCCTCCAGATGAATAAAGAACAGTGAAATGCAAGCTCAGAATGTGACACAAATCTTCAATAATTAAGTGGTAAATAACACAATATCCTTTATGTATTATTGCTGAAGAGTGTTGAACTTTCTGCTTCTGCTGCTGTACAGATGTGAAGTTACTTTTCCTTCAGCCTGAGGCTAATTCATTTCACTTTTTGGTGTGAAAGGGCTTTTACATTTACCAAAAATAGAACTTTTTATATTAAATACAAGCAAGCAAGCCCTGCCCAGATTTGAAAAGTAACGCAAAAGTAACGTAACACATTACTAAGTAACTAAGTAACGGAATTAGTTTTTAGGGAGTAACGCAATATTGTAATGCATTACTTTTGAAAGTAACTTTCCCCAACACTGGTGAGGAGAGTCACCTCGAAGAGTGTGTCCTCCAAAAGAGCATTTTTGGAAACTTAAAGGAATATTAAGGAAGGACAAAGTATGTGGGATTCGGGGAATGCTACAAAAATTTGTAGGGATGCTCTTGTATTATATTCAGAAAAATGACCTTTTTTTGCACGTGGTAGCATTCGTCAAACAATGCCAATATGTGTCTTTATTTATTTGATCTTACATCTTAAAAATGTAATTTTGTTCATCATAGTTCTTCAGATCCATGGGGAACTGAAAAGACTTTCAATGAGATCCTTTAAAAAAAACACTAGACCAGTCCACAGCTGTTATTATGTGTTTGTGGAGGAAATTAGGTGATTTCTGTATTCCTACTTTGTTTTTATTTGCAAAAATCATGAAAAGATTCCAAATGCTTCTTGTCATGTGAATCATGTGAAAGTGTACTTTCAGAAGCCTTAAGAAAGATTCACATCCAGCCAAATTCATCCTTTCCTCTATTTTGTGGGAGTTTTTTGTGGCTTTAACAGGTTTGTCCATCAGAAAACACTTTAATGATGTGTGTGTGTGCTTGGACTGCGACTACTTTTACTAGAGCACTTTTATAATTCAGCAATTTACTCTCCCGTTTTACAGTTATTTATTTAGCAGGCGTTTTTATCCAAACGAGGAATACAACAATCTTTACTTTCTCTCAGAAATATTCTCCAGCCCGTCATCATCTCATACATTACCGATCTGCATTCAAAATCAAACACATTGTATGCATTGTGATTTATTTATTTTTCAACAATACATTTTCTCTCATTTCTTGACAGTTGTTTAAGGCGTTTGTGCAATTCCCTGAAAATAAACACATACACAGAGTCAGTTAAATTCTCTGAGATGGTGTTATGTACTTTGATGTACATCATTTGAATTATTAATACATACAGAAATATCATTGGATGTATGAATGGAGGGAGCCCACATATCTCCTTCAGTCCATAAGCCAATAATTGGTAATGTTAATAATAAAATAACATTGTTGTATCAGTATTTAGATAATGATGTAATAATTTGTCTGATAAGTCAAAGGATAAACGAACAGTTCATCCAAAGATGAAACTGTGCTCATCCTCAGTTCATCTGAGATCAGGATGAGTTTATTTCTTCATCAGGTTTGTAGAAATGTAGCATTGCATCAGTGTCTCAGCAATGGATGCTCTGCAGTGAATGGGTGCCGTCAGAATGAGAGTCCAAACAGCTGATAAAAACATCACAATAATCCACAAGTGATCCACAGCACTCCAGATGTTAACTGATGGACAAAAGCTGAAACACACTAATATCTCTTCCTCCAGTGAAAAAGTGTTCTGGTGTGAATCAGGAGAGAAATCTGCACAGATCAAGCAGCGTTTAAACAGCTCTAAACTAATATGTGGCTGGATTTTGATGTGAGAGACAACAGCAGATGCACTTTTTCACTGAAGAGTTATTATGGACTCGTATTTTAGCCGAATGCAACAGTTTGAAGTTAAAAAGACTGCAGATTTGGCAGGCTGGTCAGAGATTTGACGTGCTACTATCATTTAATGTGCACATAAATAAATGCAAAATAAAGACTTCAACTTTTAAAAGTAAAGTTTATTTATTTCCTGAAAAAAGTAAATGATCTGCTTTCTCTGCGGTATCATTCAGCAACAGTCCCATGCAGAAGATCAGCCCAGCTAACACATATAAAAATATGTGCCAAGAACGTTTTGCAAATAATCCTAGTAAGTTATGAAGACAATATTACTGAATGTTTTTAAGTTTCTTCTTGTTTATTTGAATGTTACAAGAACATTCCATTCTGTCATTTTGAAAACATTACGAAAGCGTTACATTCGAATGTTTAAAACACCCGTTTTTTTCACGTTTAAAGAACGTTTTTTGTTTTTTTTCTTGGTTATGTGAACATTAGAGAAACATTCCATTCTGTCATTTTGAAAATGTTCTGAGAACCTTCTATTGTTGTTAGTGAAAAGCGTTGTTGAACAGCTCTGAACACGCACGCGATACAAGACGTTCCGAGAACACATTAATACTGCTTTAAGAACGTTCCGTAAACTTTAAAAATGAACACAGAGGAGCTGGAACTTCTGTTTCTGGCCGGTGACGTCATCAGGGCTGCGCCAGGCTGCAGGAAACTATCGAGCACAGGTTTGTGTGTTTAAACGCAATAATATGCGCGTAAGGTGCGTGAAACGATAAGAAAACGGCGACAGATGGATTCGTGTTTTACAAAAGTATTCCAGCGACATTGTCATTCTCGATTATTAGATCTAATAAATTACTGTCGGGTATAAATTGCAGTGCTTTATTGTGAAGTATATTGTTAGGGAAATATTGTAACTTATGGTGAGATGCCTCCACGCGTGACCGATTGATATATTTCGCCTTTTGTTTTCTTTCTTCGTGACGAAGACTTCTACTAACCTACTGTAATCTGCATACTACTGTAGAGATGGAGTTTGTTAAAGAGGAGAGTGCTGCAGAAACATGCGGAGAGAAAGAGCAAGAAACTGAGGAGCAGAGAGGTTGGTGATGATTAATAATTATTAATAATAAATTAGGAGCATTAAAGTAACAAAGCTTGGAATGTGCCATAAAAATTCTCAATTATAGTTATAATTAGGGCTGTCAAGCGATTGAAATCTAATTAATTACACATTGTGCCATTTAATTAATCATACATCAACTGTGGCTAGGATATTACCCCTCACAAGATCATTTAAAGTCATTATTGTGTTCAGTGAGAAAAGCATTGAATATAAAAATATGTGCCAAGAACGTTTTGCAAATAATCCTAGTAAGTTATGAAGACAATATTACTGAATGTTTTTAAGTTTCTTCTTGTTTATTTGAATGTTACAAGAACATTCCATTCTGTCATTTTGAAAACATTACGAAAGCGTTACATTCGAATGTTTAAAACACCCGTTTTTTTCACGTTTAAAGAACGTTTTTTGTTTTTTTTCTTGGTTATGTGAACATTAGAGAAACATTCCATTCTGTCATTTTGAAAATGTTCTGAGAACCTTCTATTGTTGTTAGTGAAAAGCGTTGTTGAACAGCTCTGAACACGCACGCGATACAAGACGTTCCGAGAACACATTAATACTGCTTTAAGAACGTTCCGTAAACTTTAAAAATGAACACAGAGGAGCTGGAACTTCTGTTTCTGGCCGGTGACGTCATCAGGGCTGCGCCAGGCTGCAGGAAACTATCGAGCACAGGTTTGTGTGTTTAAACGCAATAATATGCGCGTAAGGTGCGTGAAACGATAAGAAAACGGCGACAGATGGATTCGTGTTTTACAAAAGTATTCCAGCGACATTGTCATTCTCGATTATTAGATCTAATAAATTACTGTCGGGTATAAATTGCAGTGCTTTATTGTGAAGTATATTGTTAGGGAAATATTGTAACTTATGGTGAGATGCCTCCACGCGTGACCGATTGATATATTTCGCCTTTTGTTTTCTTTCTTCGTGACGAAGACTTCTACTAGCCTACTGTAATCTGCATACTACTGTAGAGATGGAGTTTGTTAAAGAGGAGAGTGCTGCAGAAACATGCGGAGAGAAAGAGCAAGAAACTGAGGAGCAGAGAGGTTGGTGATGATTAATAATTATTAATAATAAATTAGGAGCATTAAAGTAACAAAGCTTGGAATGTGCCCAGAGGCCTGCAATCTCAAAACTCACCTGCTCTCTCACACCGGAGAAAGACCCTTTCACTGTCAGCGCTGCGATAAGAAGTTTTTCCTGGCCGTGCACTTGAAGACGCACATGAGGATTCACGAAGACGAGCGGCGGTACGTGTGTACATTCTGCGGGAAGAGTTTTCTGTGGCTGCACGGTTTTAAAGACCATCAGAAAACACACATCGGCGAGAAACCCTTCGTGTGTTTGGACTGTGGGAAAACCTTCGCTAGAGCCGCCGAACTGAAAGTGCATGAACGGATCCACACCGGAGAAAAACCCTACAAGTGTTCACACTGTGAGAAGAGCTTCACTCAGTCATCAGGACTGAAAGTGCACGAGAGAGTTCACACCGGAGAGAAACCATACCTCTGTCCCTCCTGCGGGAAGACTTTCAGCCGATACGGGAGTTTAGGAAAGCATTTAAAAAAGGCTTGTCCAAAGCTGAAAAAGTGAGCAAGATTCAACACTTTTGGATTTTAATTTTTTACCCCAAGAAAAGACCATTAATATTGTCCTATCCTAACAAACCATACATCAATGGAAAGCTATTTCTTCAGCTTTTAGATGATGCATAAATCTCAATTTCACAAAATTGACCCTTATGACTGGTTTTGTGCTCCAGGGTCACGTTTAGGATATTTAAGGGAGGTCAGAGTATTAGTTTAGAAAAAGCGGCCAACTGCGCTCAAGTCCTCCTGGGAAGTTCGTACTTATGAGTTGACGAGTCGTAATTACCGCGTCAGGTGCGTTCAAGTCACTTTGGTCGGAACAAGATTTTCTACATAATTTTAAAAACTCTATTAGGGCTGTCCCCAACTAAGGATTTTCATAGTCGAATCAGAATTGGCGAATCTTGCCGATAGTCGACTGATAGTCGGATCATATGTTGGGGGGGGGGAATACATTACCAAGAGTCAAGTAGTCAGACATTCGTCAGTCATAAATACTGACGCTAACACACAGGAAAAATGTGTATCGGATGGCTCGCAGATACAAACAGGGTAAATGTTTTATGTTTTGATTAATAGATAACATTAACATTGGCCGGCTGCATATCATATTGAGCTGATGGAACTGATTTACACTAAATAGAACCAAATATCCACACATAAGATGGAATCGACAGATGCACGAAGTATTCGATGAATCCGTGTGCTGCTGTATAGATATTTTCATGGAGGAAATTAACGAATATCCTGCTAATTTTTCCAACTTTGAAGCATAGCCGACTGCCACATAAAACTCTATGAGATCGCCTAAATATGAGCTGCTGTGAAAACTGCTCAAACACAGCTAGTTTTATCCAGCCCCGGCATGACTTGAACGCACCATTACAGTATTGTGGTAGCATTTATCAAACTATACAAACATCAGTGTATTTGCCTTTCTAATGTCTTTAAAATGTAATTTTGTTAACTATAGCTCTTCAGTACTGACAATGATTTCACAGTATACTCCGTTTTTATTGCATAAATCAATCAAGCTTGAATGTGTGCTAGTTTATGCTTGAGTAGGTTACATTAATCATGTGAATAAATCGCTTAATGGACTGATAAACGCATCTGCAACAAAGTAGCATGCAGTGACTTTTTCAGTGAGCTCAAAGAGCTAATCTGATTCGAATTAACCGTTTTTGTAACATTGTATCTTACAGCTTTATTGTAACACTGCTGATTCCTGCTTTGATGGAAACATTGTATGTTGTCGTTTATGTATGCTGAACCTGGTTTATATAGCAACACTACAAACTGTGTGTTAAAATATCTAACAGTCACTATTAAAATGAAGAATATGAATTCCAAACGTGTCTGTAAGCCTGATCTGTTGCAAACCAAGCCTGGGTTTGTAGTTGGATCATTGATTCATGCGGGGACTTTCTGATTTTTGATGTTTATTGGGCCTAGATGCACATTGATTTGAGTCTTAAATGTTTTGTGTTTAGATTTGACGTTCTTCAATGCATCTGATCATATGGTTCAAATGTATGTTAACAATTTAATTGACTTTGATGCACTAATTTGTTATTACAAATCTGAAATATTGCTAGGGCTGGAAGAAATACCTTGCTTAGCCCTACAAACAAACAATAAATAAACAACATCAAATACGTAAAAATATATCGTGGCCAATGGCACATTCTACATCGATAACTATAACTTCAATTTTCTACATTTATTTATTTATTTTTAAAATCCTTTTTAAAAGCTCAACTTGTTTTAATTTAACAAGCAACATGAAACGTTAAAAAAGGTGCAACGGTCAATGACGTCCCTAATTTTCTAGACAAGAAACGTTTTAGTTATGTATTACAGATGAGCGAACTACAAAATTAAACATTTCAGATGAAAACGTCAAATAGATATCTCTGCGTCAGGGCGGACTTTTATTTTGCTATTGTGACGCCGTGCGTGCCGCGTAATAACGGCTCGGGCGCCAGTTTACGGAAGGAGGAGTGTTTTGTATTGAAGGAGCGCTTCTGCATTGGTCGAGTATAACACCGCACGAAACTTTTGACGTGTTTTAAAGATGCACAAGATGTTAAAGATTGTTCTGAGGCAGCAATGTGAATGAATGTTGGTTACTGAATGTAGTATTTTGCAGCTTTGTGTCGAGCGCTAATGGTTTCTCGTAAATGGCGCCAAAACTGATGTTATTTTCTGTGAGTAAAGCAGCGAATCCACACACGAGGAAAACATGAGAATGTGTGTCAGCGATGCATTCATAAATAATAAACGTGATAAAGTCTGGTTTCCAAACAAGCAGGAGAAACTCCAGGTTTAACAGTCGAGATAGACTGCTGTGAAGATGGAGTTTGTTAAAGAGGAGAGTGATGCAGAAACATGTGGAGAGAAAGAGGAAGAAACTGAGGAACGGAGAGGTTGGTGTCATTTTGAGTCTTCTTTAATGTCACTTGACAGCTGGAAATGGGTGGGTTGTTTTTCCGAAAGATAGGAACTGTCAAATAACATGATATGTACCATATCTGATGGCATTAACATAATTTAAAGGGACAGTTCACCCAAAAAATTGAAAATTCTGTCATCATCTACTCACCCACAAATTGTTCCAAAGCTGTATGCATTTATTTATTTTGTTTAACATAAAAGAAGATATTTTTAAAAATGTTGGTAACCAAACCCCATTGACTTCTATATGAAAAGTATGGACCAGCAAATATTTGTTTACCTACAATCTACAAAACATCTTCTGTTAACCCTATAAGCACATGAAACGGTTAAAAACAAACATTTAGTCTTTGACAGTCCATTGACTTATACCTATTTTGTGTTCATTTTAGACCTGGTGGAGGTGAAAGAGGAAAGTGAAGAACTGAATGAAGGGGAGGAGAAACAGCAGAATCAGGAACCTCTACGTTTCGTACGTGGAGAAAAATCTTTTAGTTGCTCTCAGAGTGAAAATAATTCCTCACCAGAGCCCAATAATTCGTTCATGTGTCCTCAGTGTGGAAAGAGCTTTGCTTGCAAAAGAGACCTTAAGAGGCACATAAGGATTCACACCGGAGAGAAACCGTTTCCGTGCTCTCAGTGCGAAAAGAGTTTCGCAAATTCTGGAGATCTGAAGAGACACGTAAGAATTCACTCCGGAGAGAAGCCTTTCACCTGCTCTCAGTGCGGAAAGAGCTTCACGCAGAAGGAAGGTCTGAAGGAACACATGAAAATCCACTCCGGAGAGAAGCCTTTTGCGTGCATGCTGTGCGGGAAGAGCTTCACACATCAAAACAGCTTGAAAAGACACATGAAGGTCCACTCAGGAGAGAAGTTACACCAGTGTCCTGAATGCGGCAGGAGGTTTTCAGAGGCCTGCAATCTCAAAACTCACCTGCTCTCTCACACCGGAGAAAGACCCTTTCACTGTCAACGCTGCGATAAGAAGTTTTTCCTGGCCGTGCACTTGAAGACGCACATGAGGATTCACGAAGACGAGCGGCGGTACGTGTGTTCATTCTGCGGGAAGAGCTTTCTGTGGCTTAATGGGTTTAAAGACCATCAGAAAACGCATACTGGTGAGAAACCCTTCGTGTGTTTGGACTGTGGAAGCACTTTCACTAGAGCCGGTGAACTGAAAGTGCATGAACGGATCCACACCGGAGAAAAACCCTACAAGTGTTCTCACTGTGAGAAGAGCTTCACAGTTTCAGGAGCCCTTAAAGTGCACGAGAGAGTTCACACCGGAGAGAAACCATACCTCTGTCCCTCCTGCGGGAAGACTTTCAGCCGGTACGGAAATCTAGGGAAGCATTTGAAAAAGGCTTGTCCAAAGCTGAGACAGTGAGGAGGTTCACCTCCAGGTATAGGCTTGTCCATGTGAATTGAACGCAGACGGCAGAGTTCGAACATATGACCTGTTAGCTATGACTTGCCAATCAACTAACATGGTCATTATAAAAGCAATACATTTACATACACAAACCTGAGAATCGGAATATCAACTATTTTACAATCTAGGAATAGTTCACCCCTAAATGAAAATGTCAGAATGAGAGTCCAAACCGCTGATAAAAACATCACAAGTAATCCACAGCACTCCAGTCCATCAGTTAACATCTGGAGAAGACAAAAGCTGAAACAAATCCAGCATTAAGATGTTTATAACTAAAATACATCAAGTCCATAATCCATAATAACGCTTCCTCCAGTGAAAAAGTGCATCTCCTGTTGTCTCTCACATCAAAATCCGGCTGCATATTTGTAGCTGTTTTAGCTAATAATAATTTTGCTCTGACTACCAATAGCTGCTTGCATAAAATTCAAGGCACTGATGTTTGCCTGCAGAACAAACACTGGATCTGCAGCCATTTACAGGGCCGTTGGCTCCTATAAGAAACAAAATTAGGCGCCAAATTATTTTTTTAGGTGCCACAGAATAAATGTGTTTTATTTTTTTACACTAACATTTCAGTCATATTGTCATGTGTTTATGTCTCACTTCTTGTCTTTATCAGCATTTTAGGGTGCTTTCACACCTGGCCCGTTGTTTGGGAACCTGGTGTGTTTCCCCTCGTTAGTTCGGTTCGTTTGGGCATATGTGAACACAGCAATCGCGCTCGGATCCACGCCAAAACAATCGGTCCGAGATCGCCTGAACGAGGTGGTCTCGGCTCGATTGAAAACGAACTCTGGAGCGGTTCGGTTGTAGTCAGAAAGCAATCTGATCTAACGAACCAACGAACCAGGCTATATCACAATGTATGATGGGTAATTACGTAAGTTCCGTGAAAAGCATTAGCTTTGTTGTTTTGCTAATACTTCAAAATGAACCTGTGAATGTCTGTGGGTGAGCACGTCTTCGCCATTCAAAATCAAAGCGCACTTTTTCATTTTATAATGCCGTCTTATTGCTCTTCTTAGTAGGTGCATTTTAAAAATGTTTTCCCGATGAATCCTGGACTCCTGCTCAAAGTGATAAATTAATATAACGACATATACAAAAAAACAATAAGCCCGCGAAGCTGTTGTCGTTCCATCCTGATGGCTGACAGCCGTGACAGCTCAGTGGAAACCCGGAAAATAAACCGTGGAACTTTGACCAATGAGAGAACAGTTTACTCGCACGTGACTTGTATTAACACATTTGGTCCGTTTAGAAACTTTGCCGTATGAAAGCGAACCGCACCAAGAATAAAAACCAACCTGTTTCGGAACAAAGCAATCGATCTACAAGTGCGAAAGCACCATTAATCCATCTTGTAGATGTCCTGGGAACTACAGGTTCACTTAAAGTGGGAACTAAACATCTTTTCCAACTATATACAGTCACAAAGATTTGTTTATTACACAGAATCTCTGCCAATATCACTGACCATAATGTCAGCATCACTTGACCATTGAGTATAGTTTGTGCTCCTCCTCATTGCATCCTATGAATGTAGTTATATGTCTTTGAAACATCCAGCCTGTTTTTCTTCATTAGTAACTTTCAATTTTATAGGAGGTCTTGAATTTTATCTTTAGCTCCTTGCATTCTCTAATCATGTAGACGACGACTCCTTATAGTTATTTTTCTAGCTGACTGATGAGCTTATGAATGTCGAACGGTTATTCTGAGGTAAATGATTGTTACGTGGCATTGTTTACAAGCTTTACACGTTTTCCGCAGCTTGTAACGCTAAGCGATTACATGAGACATTTCAGTAAGTTGTACTATCTTATAAAATAGCCTACCTTCTGATGTTCATTCATGTTTATTTCGTACTATAGTGGTAAAGATATGATGGGTTCACATGCCGCTTGAACTGAGGCGCTAAAGCAATCGCTCACGTTGAAGAGCGCCAAAACGGTTTATTGTTTAAACTTCGTTATGAATTCAGCAGAATTTTAAAGCTGATATTTTGTTTATTAAACGGTAACGGAGCACAAAGCTTATTGCGATTACTAGAGGGCAAGTATGCTAACAGAATTAACAGAACATAGCATATAGACTAAACATAACAAGAAGCCATGCTATTGATTATAAATGAGAACTGTTAACGATATTGCCAAGATCCACACAGCTGACAGCTTTACCTGTTGTAGTTTGTTCAGGTTGTGCACGAAATAGACACTCCTTTTCTGCACTTGTACTTTGCACGTCTCCGTCGTTTCGATCTCTCTCGCGCTGAACAACTGGAGCTTCTTTTAGCAGGTGTGCCGTCAGCGCTGGCGTAAAACAATTAAGAAAAAAGACATTACATGCAAATTTTCATATCTAACGTGTGCATTTATATAGTCACCAGTGGCAACCTCAGCAAAAACTTCACTCGCAAATTAATATTTTTGGTCGCAAATGTGACCGTTTTAAGCCCGAAAGGGATTTTGGGCTGTCCCAGACGAAAGATTGTCATCGTGAAACAATCGTGGCGATTTCTGTGATCGTGGCTCCTAATCGGTGGTCCTGTGTCGTACAGTGAGAGAGCATGATCATCGCACCGTGTGTTTGCTGCTATGATCCTCGTTTACTGACCAACCAATAAAAATACGACATGAAATCAACGCGCTAAAACATAAAGCTGCTTACCTCAAGCTCTTGTGCCTTCCTCTTTCGCCGCTTCCACTTTAACATAAAAAAACATAACTGCTAAAGTGTGATTTATCATGCTCTTTTTGTTTACCACGAGTGCATGCTGATGACGTTTTATTCTTCTATAGAAACATGCGTCGTAGTGTACGAGTCAGTAGGTGTTATCATCGTACAGTCTACACACACGTCGTAGCCAAGTTCATTAGATCCGTGTCGCACAGTTTAGCAATCTTATAGGATTGCTAAAATCGTGCAGTGTGTCTCGGGCTTTAGTCACGTTTGGAGCCCTGCATTTACCTAAATTCACTTCAGACTTATGTATGTGCCCTCCAGAAGCTTGCGTTCTGCGAGTGAACGGCGCTTTATTGTTCATCCCAAAGAGGCACGAAATCACTTTCACAGACTTTTACATTAACTGTTCCCTCCTGGTGGAATGATCTGCTCAACTCAATCCCAGCAGCTGAGTCCTTAGCCATCTTCAAGAATCGGCTAAAGATACAGTACATCTCGCACTAGCCTCCCTATTCTATTTCTATTTTACCTACTTTTCTTTTTATTTATTAAAAAAAACCTTGACCCTCTAACACTAGCACTCTGTATTCTATCTAATTGTTTTCTTTTTATATATTATATAAAAAAGACCCTCTAACGCTAGCATTCTCTATTCTTTTCTATTCTATCTACTCTTGCTGCTTGTACTGTGTTAGACTTAGTTAAAAACGTCTTAATGCTGGATTAGTTTCAGCTTTTGTCTTCTCCAGATGTTAACTGATGGACTGGAGTGCTGTGGATTACTTGTGGATTATTGTGATGTTTTTATCAGCTGTTTGGACTCTCATTCTGACGGCACCCATTCACTGCAGAGCATCCATTGGTCATCACAAAGTGTCACATGACTGCTTGAAGCTTCGCTATGGAAATAGGAATGTGATTCGTTCTATAGTATATCTATAATACTGCTTTCAGAACTTCAAACTTCTTAAAAACCATAATAGTGATGAGTAGAGGCACTTATAAACGTAATGCGTGACTAAGTTGGTTTTAAAAGTTTAGCCAGTTGAGGTTACGTATAACGCGGATGTGGAGTCAGACGCCGAGGACATTGCAAATTACTTTAAACACACACATTCTAATCATGATCAGTATGATGCAGCACAAATGGCTGATTTGACCTTTTTAAGCACAATCGCAGTGACAGATATTGGATATAATACAGTGTATAATACCAAATATGTAACAGTACCAGCCTGGGGAGGTTTGCGTGAGTGGATAATGCGAATAAAAATCCAAGGCTTTGGCTTTATTTTGGATGTTGTAACTTTTACAGTCAACCCAAGTGTTTTAACCAATAAATTAATATGCATATCCCTTATCTGCTGGCCATTTTAATTTCATATGCATGAACCTTTCATGGAACGTACATGTATTTCTTCTTTATAAACAATGGGAATGATTTTATAATAACTGTTTTTGGAGGATTGTTACATTAATACTTCAACAGATTGTTAGCTCCACAGTTTTCTGAAATGGTATGATAAATTATACATACGCCTGTTTAGGAGAGAAGTGGTTTTATTTTGCAGATGATGTTTCACCTGCCTTCTCTTTCCTTTCTGTTTATCCTCGAATTTCTCTAGATGTTTATTCTAAATGAGAAGAGGCTGGGCCTTGATCAATTTGGCTTTATGTAAAAAAAAATTGTTTTTATATACACTTGCCTAAAAACCATTCTCCCTGCGGCGGCGCTTCACACTCCCGTCCGCTGGCGGCGCTAATGCGACCAAAAAAAACCGACGACGGTCGACCGACGCTAAAACTCAAGAAGAAGAAGACGCAGCGTTTGCTAGCTTACGTTAGCGTCAGCCCATCGCTCAAGAGCACACCTTATAGTCAAAAACAGGCGATATTACGTAAAAATATACCTCGAGTGGCTCAAAAGGACGTACATTTAGTGCTAGCGTGACTCTAAATATGCGTGTCTGACCCAAAGTGCGGCGAGTATTGCAGTAATCCGGACCGCGATGAAGACTCGTTTCCAAACAGGCCAAAACAACTCCAGCTTCATCATCTGAGGTCTTCCTCACATTCTGCTGCTAAGATGGACTTCATTAAAGAGGAGAGTGAAGAAATTAGGATTCCCGAGCCTTGCAGAGTGAAAGATGAGCAAACAGAGGAACCTAGAGGTTTGATTCTTCATTATTGACTGATTAGCGTAATGACTGCAGTTTAAGTGTAAGCATACGCGAAAAAACCAACCGAAGTGTAGTTTATTTAACGACAATCTTGAGCTATGAAACAAATGCATGTAGTTTATTTACTTTTTTTTAGAGGGCAGTGAACCTTTCATCTCAATCAACAGAATTCGTTGTATGACGTTGACTACCTAAAAATTGGGGTGAAAAATCGGAATTTTAAAGCAGAAAAAAAATATATAAAACAACTAACATTATTTATTCTGTATTATTTGAGCTGTGGCGCTGTGTAAGTCATAACTTCTCCATCATTTAATGATTTATAGCTGCATTGTCATGGCCTCAATGTTGTAAAATTGGACATAACTTTACACAGAAAAAGTTATTAAGCGATTTTTTTTATATACTGTAGTGTGCCTCCAAGCGGCAACCTCCCGCTCTCTCGTGAAGCCAACACGGAAGTCTCTCTTGTGAAACCAACACGAAAGTGACTAAAACTGCAATTCACCGACTGGCTCCAAAAGGGAGTCAGTATAGACTCCCCATGTTAAAATGCCCAATTTTACAGCAGAAAAAAACATGTTTACAGCCTGGTTCAAAAAATTATTTTGGTCTATATAGCCCGTTTTGCCCTTCATGACAACTGTGAGGGGGGTGAATTTTTTTATAACTCATCCGTTTAAATTATATTAAGCCTTAAAGTTCAGCATAATTAAGGGCGTGGCCACTTGAGTGACAGGTGGATTGCAGCTGCTGACACCGCCGTCGAGCTAGGTGGGCGTGGTTTCAACAACCTGCTCCCGCCTCTTTGCTCATTTTCAATTACCCGGGAATGACGTGCGGTGACGCGCTGCAAAGATGGCGACGGCCCGCTCTGCCCACTTTGGGCTTCAAAAAGGCTCTTCGGAACTCTACGGGTGACGTCAGGGACACTAATGTCCATGTTTTTATACAGTCTATGTGTGCCTCCCATCCAATGAATCACAATGGGCTAAGCTTTGTGCGTTGTTACTTTTGATATGAAACAAAGTCTCAGATTTTTCCGTCACTGCTAAAAAAATTAAATGATGGAAAATTTTCGGTTAACGTGACTTCACGGCAACTTATTCATGTTCATCAATAAAATTAAACCCAAAAGTGTGTGAGAGATGGGGGCAAAGGCTGAATATATTTTACAAAGGTTTTTTGATACTAATATAACGTCACAGATAATTCTACAGAAAGTAATTTTGACACCTAATGGTTCTCCATACATACCCACGTCTAAAAATGACATGAAACTTGTCACATTTTTATTTATATATATTATATATTTATGAACTGTCTTTGTTTTTTATGTTGTACTGTTCTCCTACTTATAATGTTATTGTGACGAGAGGGGCGGGGCCGGGGGAGTAAATGCTAATGCGCGACACCTGCGCCACTCACCGGACAGTGAGGTAGAATCTGTGGGTGGGGCTAAACAGGCAGTGAGGGGGAATCTGTGGGCGGGGCTAAACAGGCAGTGAGGTGGAATCTGTGGGCGGGGCTAAACAGGCAGTGAGGTGGAATCTGTGGGCGGGGCTAAACAGGCAGTGAGGTGGAATCTGTGGGCGGGGCTAAACAGGCAGTGAGGTGGAATCTGTGGGCGGGGCTAAACAGGCAGTGAGGTGGAATCTGTGGGCGGGGCTAAACAGGCAGCGATGTAGAATCGGTAGGTGGGGCTAAACAGACAGTGACGTCGATCTTCTTATGTGGAGGCGGTGCTTATCCACACTATTACATCATATAGTCTTACATTCCACAAGCTGTCGTTTTGGCAGACTGCCTTCAATATAAGCTGTTCTTAGACTAACCAGAAAGCTTTGAGTTCTGAAATTTACAGGATGTTTTTATAGTACAATGACCTCTTCTTATATGTCAAAACATTAAGGGAATTTTGGTTTTTCAGTTCATGACCCCTTCAAATGGTTACATTTCTTAAAAATAATTGTAAAAAATCAGCAAAAAAGATGTGTATTTTGAGGGTCTTAAAGCATTTTCAGTTTCATTTCTATTTCTATATTTATTTTTTCGAAACCTTTTATGTACCGCTTCCGGGTCAATGCACAGGTGCAAATTTTATTTCCATTACCTTGACAATCGTCAGTCTGTGATTTAAATTCTTTTATCATGTTTACTTCAGGCCCGATGCAAGTGAAAGAGGAGAGCGAAGAGGAGAGCGAAGAGGAGTGCGAAGAGGAGAGTGTGGACAATAATCATCAGCTGGAGGATCCTCAGAGTCTCCTCAGCGGACAGAAGATCTTGAGCTGCTCAGAGTCTGGGAAGGGCTTGTCTCATAAGAGAGCTCAGAAAACAGCCGGCTTTTTCTTCACCTGCCTCGAATGCAAAAAGAGCTTCGAGTCCAAAGAGCACCTGATGGACCACTTCAGAATTCACTCCGGAGAAAGCTGCACAGAGAACGAAACCAACCTGATGCAGAAAGCGGCTTCGGGAACGGTTTGCAAGCTGCCCTTCACCTGCTTTCAGTGCCAGAAGAGTTTCGCGTGTAAAGAGCACCTGATGGATCACTACAGGATTCACACCGTGGACAGACCGTTCCCGTGCGATCAGTGCGACAAGAGCTTCATTCACAAGCAGAGCCTTAAGAATCACCTAAGAGTTCACACTGGCCTGAGGCCACACGTTTGCCAGCAGTGTGGCAAGAGCTACATCCACAAAGACAACCTCACCGATCACATACGGATCCACACCGGAGAGAAGCCGTTTGCATGTGATCAGTGCGGAAAGAGCTTCACACACAAAGGAAGCCTCCTGCATCACATGAAGATCCACACCGGACTCAAGCCCTTCACCTGCCGCCAGTGTGGACGCCACTTCACCCACAAAGGAAACCTGAAGATCCACATACGCATTCACTCCGGAGAAAGACCCTTCACCTGCCCTCAATGCGGCAAGAGCTTCATTTATCACGGGAACCTGGTGGGGCACATGAAGAAGCACTCGGGAGAGAAGTTATACCACTGCACTCAGTGCGGGAAGAGCTTCATCGAGGCTAGGCATCTGCAGAAGCACGTGAAAACGCACGCCACCGAGCGTCCCTTCGTGTGCTCGCAGTGCGGACGCGGCTTTTTATGGCACCACAACTTCAAAGAGCACCAGAAGATCCACACCGGAGAGAAACCGCATGTGTGCTTCGACTGCGGGAAGGCCTTCACCAGACTCATTTACCTCAAGCGGCACCAGAGGATTCACACCGGAGAGAAGCCGTACAAGTGCGCTCGCTGCGGGGTGTGCTTCACCGTCTTGGACTCGCTCAAAGCACACGAGCGAGTGCACACCGGAGAGAAACCCTACGAGTGCCCGCTGTGTGGGAAGTGCTTCGGACGACTGAGCACGCTTCTGACTCATAAGAAGAAGCACTGTCCCAAGCTGACGAAGTGAATGGAACTATTCTTGCAGGGATGCTTTATAAATGTTGTTTAAAGGGGTCATATGATGTTGCTAAAAAGAACATAGCTTGTAACACTCCAAAGAGAAAGGAACAACTGAAATCGCATCATATGACCCCTTTAAATAACATTATATCTGCATTAATATCCAATAAGGAGGAGTTCATTAAAAATTGAAAATCCAAGATCAGGATGAGTTTATTTCTTCATCAGGTTTGGAGAAATGTAGCATTGCATCAGTGTCTCAGCAATGGATGCTCTGCAGTGAATGGGTGCCGTCAGAATGAGAGTCCAAACAGCTGATAAAAAACATCACAATAATCCACAAGTAATCCACAGCACTCCAGTCCATCAGTTAACATCTGGAGAAGACAAAAGCTGAAACTAATCCAGCATTAAGACGTTTTTAACTCAAATACATCAAGTCCATAATCCATAACTCTTCCTCCAGTGAAAAAGTGCATCTCTGTTGTCTCTCACATCAAAATTACTTGTTTGGATTTGTTCCAGCTTTTGTCTTCTCCAGATGTTAACTGATGGACTGGAGTGCTGTGGATTACTTGTGGATTATTGTGATGTTTTTTATCAGCTGTTTGGACTCTCATTCTGACGGCACCCATTCACTGCAGAGCATCCATTGCTGAGACACTGATGCAATGCTACATTTCTACAAACCTGATGAAGAAACAAACTCATCCTGATCTCAGATGACCTGAGTACAGTTTCAGCACATTCTCACTTTTAGATGAACTACTCCTTCAACAGTTTCATTTTCTTAATCATGTTTGTTGTAAGGTGATGCATGAAAAAAAAAATGTTGGACGCTTTAATAGTGAGTTTCCAAAAAAAAAAAAAAAAACTGGGACCTTTCTTCCAAACGTTTAGACTTTCTTCTGTTGAACACAAGCGAAGATGTTCAGCAGAATGTCCAGACTGTTTTATTATAGCAGGACCTGGAGCTGTGAAGCTGAAGCGAGAGCCACAGAAACAGCGTAAAGCTAGTCCAGTGTTAAGAACAGAAATATAAGTCATTATTTCTCTGCTGTAAGTCTCAAATCTCAGCTAATCTCTGTGCTTCAGAATATGGCGTGTTTGGCATCAGTGATGTCAGCTGTCGTTGGTTCTCGCGTGTATCATTAATTATGGCACAGCTGGTGTTTTTTAAAATAGAACGAATGATTTCTATTCCTCGAATCGACTCTTTCAGCGCGAGTGAGAATCTGTCTTCACTGAAATAAGGTTATTACAGGCGCACTGGTGTTCATACGGTCTACTTGGACTGCAAAAATCAGTCCAGCCCCGTGTGTTTATGATTGAATAGAGTACATTAATTACATAATTTAGCTGTCTCATAACCAAGGCTGCAAGTGTGTAGTGTGCAAACTGTACATGATGAAACTAACAAATAAAAAAGGAGCAAAATGTGTCAAGTGTGATCTGCCTCATTTTGTGGATGAATTATCATATTCATGCAGCATTTAGTGGGTTTGTAGTTCAGAAGTTCATGAACTGAACGTGCTGACCTCTGCTCAAATGCATTTAAGTGTAGCAGCATTTTGTTAAAAATACATTGTTAAATTATTCTGGTCACACATTGTGTATCATAAACAGACTTCAATGCATTTATTATTTATAATATATCTTATCTTGAAACAGATATTATAGCTGTAACAGTTCACTAGTTCTAGAAATTATATTTAGCTGCATAACTCTTCAGATCTTAGAGCAGATAGATACATCTATAACCAGTTTATCAGAGTACAGTAAAGTTTCACCTGGCTTTCCTATGAAAAATTTATTATATCTGATCTAACACATAAACATGACTTTTGTTGAAGGAACCTTGTTTTCAGATTAGTTTATTAATATTAATTAAACTTGAAAATTGCGTTTACTACTAATACAACTAATAAAAACATTTATATTTACTATAACAGCTTGACTGTTGATATGGTTATTATAAAAATGCAAAAAAATGGAACAGAAAAATGATTTTTGCCTAAAACGAGAACAATATCTGCTGATGGGGTCAGATGCACTTGGTTTGTCTTTGAATTACTTTTAATTTTCTGATCCCATTGACAGATATTTTTTATTGTTTTAAGCTTAAACCCGTTTAATTATTATTATTATTATTATTTTTCAAGAAAACAAGACTTATCTTGTTATTTTGTTTCTTAATTAAATGTAAAACACAAAGCGTATTAAATGCAAGTGCCTACTTTTTTGTTTTAAATAACTTTTATGAAAATAAAATATCAACATATGGGTAAAATAAAGTTCCATGGTCATTCAGCATAACAGATATATTTATGTTAAAACAAAACACTTATTCTATAATATATCAAGGAAAAAATTATCATACTAAATTTGATTATATTTTGAATGATTAAAAACATCTTGCTGACAAATGAGTAAAACAGTGGTTTGAAGTATTGTGGCAAAGTATTCAGGGTCTGCTGTGATCCTTAATTAGAAGATAATTATTGCTCTAAATATGCCTGACAAGATTTATTGGTATATGAACTACCATTACACTGCATGACATTTTTGTCTCTAAATCAGGGTAAAAATGTACAATAGTCATGATGTTTGCTCACAAGAAATTAAATTAAAAGGACAGAATTTTACAAAAATAATTTAAAGCTGTATTAAAATTTTATACCCCATATATATATACACACAATACAGACACACACTATATATTCCAACCAGTGCATTTAATGAAAATAAAATGTATTCCTAAGGCAAGGTTAATTCTGTAGATGATTTTCATTCCTCTCCTGTGGTGAGAAGTTGAGCAGGGAATAGTCATCTATTTATCCCAAAATATCTTATATAAGATATATAATATCTTAATAACAATATAAGAGTGTGTTGTGCTGTCTAAAGCAGCACAACACACTCTTGGGACTTTGGTCTTATAAGCAAAATCCCCATAGGACCAAAGATTCAGGTTTAATAACTAAATGCATAAGGAATAACTGTGACGATTTTGAATTCAATTGGTCCAGGGATAGAAGCCATCAGATGAAGGAGGAAAGTTGACTATCAAACAGAGTGAATTATCGACAACATAGAAAATACTCACAATTCAAGATTAGAACACTGTTAAACAACAATGTCCTTCTTGAAAGAGATCAGCCCGTTGGTGAAGAACTATTTTCTCTCTGCGGCACAGATCACAGCTGGAGTATAACAGGTGTGGTATTACTTTGATAATAGTTTATTAACATTTATTATTTTATGACATTCATTTAGTATTTTGGTGCAAATTTGTCTGACACTAAGTAGAAATTATAGGCAGATGGCAACATGGATAGATTGTGTGATATGCCCTCATTTCTGAAGAACGTGTCACTTTTTAGTGTTTGACTTTACTGCCATTTCTGTTCACTTTTGTATCAGATTGGAATTAGATAACCAGCTGACTCCTATCTAATTTTAAGCAGTAGTCTGATTTTATGGTTACGCAGGACAACATATGATTCCTTTTGTGACTCGTCTGATTTTAGGATGAGAGAAGAAGCTATAACGAGCTGCTTGATTTGTCTTCTGGAGATCTGCACAGAGGAGGAATAAAACCCATCACCTTTGTTCGTCAAGTGGTTAGAAGCTTTATTTATATCAGAGAACAGAAATAACATTGAAAAAATATCATACAAATAATTTATTAATAATGAAAATATCAGTTATTAATCATCATCATTATTAATATGATTAACTAATTGGCTGATTTTAATTAAAGGGGTCATATGATGCTGCTAAAAACAACAGTATTTGGTGTAATGAAATGTGTTTATGCGGTTTAAGGTTAAAAAAACACATTATTTTCCACATACTGTACATTATTGTTTCTCCTCTATGCCCCGCCTTCTGAAACGCGTCGATTTTTACAAAGCTCATCGTTCTGAAAAAGCGAGGTGTGCTGTGATTGGCCAGCTATCCAGTGCATTATGATTGGCCGAATACCTCAAGCATGTGACAGAAATGTTACGCCCCTTAACATATTGTGATGCCGTGTCCCGGCCGGAGCGACGAGACAAAAACATTAAAACCCATTATAAACGAGGCATTTGTTGCATCCAGTGGGGACATAAATACTGATTATAATGACTTATACTGTCCTTTTACGCGTTGCGTTGCATTGCATCGCCTTTGGATTTGAGTCTTTAGTCTTTGCAACTGTACAGATCTTCTTTATGCACCAAGAGCTTGTAACACTACAAAGAGAAAGGAAAAATTTAAATCGCATCATATGACCCCTTTAACACAAATGTAGGTTGAGAAAAGCACAGAAACACATGGTCCTCCTCAGCAGGACTCACACACACTGATCTTACTGTCTATATTAGGATTTATTACATTTATTCTGACATCTTATTTCACTGACAGAAGTTCAGCTGCAGTATCAATGTCATGAAGAGACTCTATAACATCTCACTGTTACAGATTTATCATGCGGGTCAAAGCATTATGGGTAGAATCTCTCATCAATCTATTCTGATTCATCAACACAGTTTCACTGATGATCTAGTACAAACCCAAAACCCAGGATAGAGCGGCTGAGTGAATGTGGTCTGGACTGTGTGGATGAGGCTCATTGTGTCAGAGACGCTGTAGAAGGACAGAGTTCCTGCACTGTGATCCACAAACACTCCTATTCTGCTGCTGATGGACTTCACAGAGAGAACAGTCTCTATGTTATTGTGTGTGAATGAGTAACTGGAGGGAGAGCAGAACAAACCCCAGGACTGATCATTAGATCCAAACAAACATTCATTACGCTGTCCCTTCCTGCTGATGCTCTTATATGACACTGATATTGACACACCTTTATCTCCACTCCACTCCAGCTCCCAGTAACAGCGTCCACACACACTCTCTCTACACAACACCTGAGAATACACATCAAATCTGTCTGGATGATCAGGATACGACTCTTCTCTTCTTCTCCAGACTCACCTTATGAGACTCCACAGCCTCTCTCAGCTGCTGAAGATCTTTCTCTCTCTGCTGGATTCTCTGCTGGAGCGTCTTCTGCGTCTCCTTCAGCTGCTTCTGCAGGACAAACAGATGATAGTGAATGTCACAGAAAACTACTGGCACTAAATCATCAAGTGAACAGATGAATCCAGGAAAAGTAGGGAGAGGCAGTTTAACGGTTACGTATCTGAACTGATAATCAATGGCTGTAGAAGGGAAGATTGATCATTTACTATCATCTTTCATGAATTATCGTGTGATTTAGGCCTGTTTCACACTATAAGTGTAAGTATTATGAAAGTGAATCTGACATAGATGTAGAGCTTCACATTGACTTCTGTGTTCTGCGTAATTAAGCTGCAGCTCTAGACAGAAAATAAATGACTGAAGTGAAGCTATAAATGGCTAAAATCATCTGGATTCAGTCAGATTTACTGAACAGAAAGTGTTTGTGTGCAGCTGCTGTTCATTTCTGCTGTGGTGAGCAGTGTGAATGCTGTAAGCTGTTAATATGGTGCTGATATAAACACATATGAAACGAGTGTCAGCAATATTTCATCAGTGTCTAGTGTTAAATACCTGTTTCTCTGTCCTCTGTGCTGCAGCTGATACAGTGTCGTGGTTTTTATGTTCATCCATCGTACACAGCACACATATACATTTCTGATCAGTGCGACAGAAAACCTCAAGGAGCTTCTCATGTTTCTGGCAGATCATCTCCTGCAGTCGTCCAGTGGCTTCAATCACTTTGTGTGGCTTACGTGAATGAAACTCCTCGTGACGCTCAAAATGATTCTGACAGTAAGATTCCTGACACACCAGACAGGACTTGACGGCTGATTTTCTTCCAGTACAGACGTCACACTGAACATCTCCAGCTCCAGCAGGAACCACACTTTGAAGTTTAGTCTGCTTCAGTTTCTCCAGCATTCCAGCAAACACCACGTTCTTAAATAAAGCAGGTCTTGTACTGAAGGTCTGTCTGCACTGAGGGCAGCTGTAGACTCTCTTCTCATCCTCCTGATCCCAGCAGTCTGTAATACAGCTCTTACAGTAACTGTGTCCACACTGGATGGTCACTGGATCCTTCAGGAGATCCAGACACACCGGACACAAGAACTCATCCTGAGAAAATCTGGCTTCTGCCATTTTACTGCATGAATACAGAGACACAAACACACAACAGCTCTACACTTCTACAGTTTCTCTTTCCCTGAACTCATGTGATTCCTGTTTCCTGGTTCTGTGTTTGAGGGACGTGTGTAAAACAGGCGTGTCTGAGTCTGTAAAACAGGTTCCTCATTCCTGAGTTTAGTTTCGACTCACCTGACAAACAAACACAGAGACAAACACTCAAAGAACACAAGTTACAGAGGGAACTTGAATGGAACTTGGATGTGAGGGGTCCAGAGTGATTTTGCCAGCCCTTTTGCTCACTCTGGATAAGTACCCTGCTGAAAAATCCAGCATAAACCAGCATGGATTCCAAGCTGGTCCCGGCTGGTATAGTGCTGGTTTATGCTGGTATAGTACTGGTCTAGCTGGTGGATCAGCATATCCATGCTGTTCTCAAGCAAAAGGGAGCTGGTGATGCTGGTTCACCAGCATGGTCTTGCAGGGTTGAGTGTCAGTAGGCCAGCTGTCTGTATGCAAGTAGTGTTTTGGGGACAAACACAGTTTTTCCTTTCATATTTCTCTATTTAACACATTAATGATGCAAAGGAAAAACATATAAGGTTAAAACATGATTTATCTAATTATATGATAACTATGTAATTTCTTCCCTCTGCTGAAAGTTGTACTGAAAATTTTAATTGCTTTTGTTATGATTACATTATTAATCAGTGTCACTGGTAAGCTGGTAAAACGTTTCAAAGCATCAACGGAATTGTCTCAAGTTTCATGAAATCTGTACACAGAAAACCAAAAAATGCCTAATAGGAGTGTAATCATAAGCAGTTTGTTCAATAACAGGGGTTATGAGAAGAGCTCTTTCAACGGGACAGTTAATAACAACTTGATAATGAAAGTTCAAAACCAAAAGTGGCTGTTTTTAAAGACTTTCATACTTATCTGGAAAGACACATATGTTCAAATCCAGCTGTCAGTCACTGATTTCAAAACGTGCACATAGTAAAAGGTATGCCAGTGCAGTGAGGTCCATGAAATATTATTGAAAATAGTGATAGCATGCACTTTTAACAATTGCTGAGACAAGAGTTAATTCAACCAAAGTCAATGGCCAAGTGCCCAACTAAAATGAACACCAATCACCATAATGGTAACAGACTTCAGCAACCTTTGTACATTTACCATATGAAAGAAATAAAGCCAAACTGGCTTGCAATAAGTGAATATGGTAATTCTCTTTTTGCAGTTTAATTATCCTCTGGTGAGATATCTAAGGCTTTGTTGCTGTAAGTAGTTGATGTGTTTCTGCTCACCTCTTCACTTTTTTCTGTTCTTGCCATTCCTCTTATTCTCAGTGATTCCACTTGTTAACCGTAGGTGTCATCACTAATGCTCAGTCATCACTTGTAGAGTATGTCATATCATTACAGACTGCACGATAGTGCCACAACATATTTTTCATGTCTGATCAGGGCGATAACCATCATAGACATTGAGGGGGGCTAGTGCCCCCAATAATTATAAATTGTGGGGTAGGGGAAGGGGAAGGGGTATAAAATAGAATTGGGATTGGGCCTTTATTTCACTAACTAAAACACTGCTTCAGTGTTACTTTTACTTTCTATAGACCAGGAACATATGAAAACTAAGCAGTGTTTGTTTAACTCTGGGAATTTTACTGTGTAAAGATGTAACCAGCAACATGTTGTGTTTCTCTTTATTAAATAATTTATTAAAATTAATTTGGAAAATTGTCTTGGTCTTTAACTACAAACACAAACTAATTTCTAAAGAAATTTGATATGTAAGACAAATTTTGTTGTGGTCTTGCTGGGATCATACCAGCACCCAAAAGACAACAAATGCTTGTCCACCAGTATCCCAAGCTGGTCCCAGCATGCAAAACATACCTTATGATGGTCCACCAGCATACCTGCTTACTGTGCTGGGGACCAGCGAACCAGCAACCGGGACCAGCAAACCAGCATCCCATTCTGGGGACCAGCAAACCAACAACCAGCATCTCATTCTGGGGACCAGCGAACCAGCATCCAGCATCCCATTCTGGGGAACAGCAAACCAGCAACCAGCATCTCATGCTGGGGACCAGCGAACCAGCAACCAGCATCCCCATGCTGGGGACCAGCGAACCAGCAACCAGCATCCCATTCTGGGGACCAGCAACCAGCATCTCATGCTGGGGACCAGCAAACCAGCAACCAGCATCTCATGCTGGGGACCATCGAACCAGCAACCAGCATCCCCATGCTGGGATCCAACAAACCACCAACCAGCATCCCATGCTGGGGACCAGCAAACCAGCAACCAGCATCCCATTCTGGGATCCAGCAAACCAGCAACCAGCATCCCCATTCTGGGGACCAGCAAACCAGCAACCAGCATCCCCATGCTGGGGATCAGCAAACCAGCAACCAGCATCCCATTCTGTCGACCAGCAAACCAGCATCCCCATGCTGGGGACCAGCAACCAGCATCCCTTGCTGGAGTCCAGCAAACCAGCAACCAGCATCCCATGCTGGGGACCAGCAAACCAGCAACCAGCATCCCATGCTGGGGAACCGCAAACCAGGCACCCCATGCTGGGGACCAGCGACCAGCCAACCAGCATCCCATTCTGGGGACCAGCAAACCAGGAACCAGCTTCTCATGCTGGGATCCAACCAACCACCAACCAGCATCCCATGCTGGGGACCAGCAACCAGCATCCCATTCTGGGATCCAGCAAACCAGCATCCCCATGCTGGGGACCAGCAAACCAGGAACCAGCATCCCATGCTGGGATCCAGCAAGCAACCAGCATCCACATGCTGGGGACCAGCAAACCAGCAACCAGCATCTCATGCTGGGGACCAGCGAACCAGCAACCAGCATCCACATGCTGGGGACCAGCAAACCAGCAACCAGCATCTCATGCTGGGGACCAGTGAACCAGCAACCAGCATCCCCATGCTGGGATCCAACAAACCAGCAACCAGCATCCCATGCTGGGGACCAGCAACCAGCATCTCATGCTGGGGACCAGCGAACCAGCAAACCAGCATCCCCATGCTGGGGACCAGCAAACCAGCAACCAGCATCCCTTGCTGGAATCCAGCAAAGCAGCATCCCATACTGGGGAACCAGCAAACCAGCAACCAGCATCCCTTGCTGGGATCCAGCAAACCAGCAACCAGCAAATAATTGACGCTTTACATTTTTTTTTGTTCTGTTTTTGGTTATGCTCAACCAAGGCGGAATAAGATGTGTTATATTCTGCAATGTGATTTTTTTACCTTGTTTGGTTGTAAAGTTGATGCAATAAAAAAAACAAAATACCTTTTCGAAGCTTCGAATCAATTGAACCAATTGCTTCGCAAAATGATTCACTGTTTCGAAGCGCTCAAAACACCACACGCTGGTGACGCCTGCTGGTCCAAAAGTGTGTAAATGCAACAAAAACTCAGGCTGAAACAAAGCGGCCTTTTAACGGCCAAAGCTAACACTTCCGGTCTGGCAGTACGTGGTAGGGATGGGCGATACCCCTTATTTTGTTTTCGATACGATACCGATATTTTTCAAGGCAGTATCGTCGATATCGATACCGATTCGATACTTCTGCACTAAACTTTTAAATTATGAAATTTATGAAATTATTAAATTACTAAGAGTAAAATGGGTAATGAAAACCACTTAACTTAGTTTAAAACGCATTTTAAACCGTTTAATCCCAAATTTTTCCCAGACATGAAAATATCCAAATGATGTGTCATTAGTAACCCTTTGAAATAATCAATAATTATTTTTTTTTTTTTTGGTTCTGTCTTGCAACATTTGCATGTGTTCAGATGGGCAGGAAAATAGTTCTATCCTACACAATTACTCGCTAACAAAGGTTATTCGTCCAATTCATTGCATATTGTACGCATTATTATTATTATTATTGTTAAATTAACAATACCACTGGTAAATAAAACGCACCTTAGTATCGATATTTTTTGTTTGCTTATCGATACTTTCGATGCTCGCGTCAGTATCGATATATCGATACTTCGGATCGATACGCCCATCCCTAGTACGTGGGAAAGGAGACCAGAGGCCATTTATTTGAATGGATGTCAATGGAGAAGAGGCTTCACTTCTCTGAATAAACAGCTTTTTAGAGGAAACAGCTCATCATTTAATGAATCGACAGCCTATCTGCTAATCTTCAACATGGTTTACACTAAACAATACTTTTGGATTGAACTATTTTTAGAGTTTACACCGAGAAATCAGCATATTAGAATGATTTCTGAAGATCATGTGACACTGAAGACTGGAGTAATGATGCTGAAAATACAGCTGCACATCACAGAAATAAATGACAGTTTAACGCATAGAAAACAGCTATTTTAAATAGTAAAAATATTAATAAAAAATATAAATTATAAAAATATAAATTTTTATTGTTTTTGCTATATTTTGGATCAAATAAATGCAACATAACTAGCTAAAACCAAACTTATTAGAAAAACAAATGCTTGAACGTATCAGCGTGATAAGAACTAGCTAAAATGACAGAAAGAGTCTTTGGGAACATGTGATTTGAAGTGTAATTAGATTAGTTCGGCTCACATCCACTGGTTTACACGGAGAGGGCGGGGTTTATGGCCCATGCTGCAGCCAGACACCAGGGGGCGATAGAAATGTTTTGGCTTCAATTCACTTTTTTTCAGACTTGATAAAAATATATTTAACTGAAATGGGAAATTTTATATAGCTAATACATAGCCTTTGATGTTTATTTGAAATGTATTGTTTTATTGTTACGTAGATGCAGTAGCGTGTAGCAAGACTTTGTTTTGATCGTCACTGATGTAATAATATACTTCAGTGATCATGGATTTGACAAAGATAAAGCATATTTCATACAATTCTTAATTTTAATGGGGAAGTTTCATATTCATAAAATGAAGTGGTCAAACTTTTCTAATTTTCTAAACGATTTCAAGCTGTATTGTAAGGTCCTATGTAAGTGCACAAGTAAAAGGCTATTAGAACTCATAATATTGTAAGCAGGCATGCTATTGTGTAAAGTGACACAAAAAAGTTTTTTTTTTAAATTATTATTTATTTATTAACTTATTTTGTTACTGTCCTCTGGCACTGTTTCATTATATTAATGTTGTTCATCTTGCTCTACTTTTCCTTTACATTTGAATGTTTCTCGTTGTATTGTTCTGATGTATGGCATAATAATAACACATATTTTTTTATCGTCACGTGTTGATCGCGTTAGCGTTATCAAGCGTCTCCACGTCACACGTCACACGTGCTCTGGTGTCAGGACAGGACAGGTAAGTGGTTCACCTGGCGCTGATTGCTGGTGTGTGGGGCTGTTATCGAGCGCTGTGTGTCGCAGACAGCAGTGATGGTGAGCGTGGTGCAGGGCTGGATGTCGCGGCTGCTGTCGCCGCTGTGGCGCCGGGCGCAGGAGCTCGATGAGCGGCGAGAGGATCCGCGCTTCGACGGTCAGTGCGTCACACTTTGCTCGATCATATTCATTGGAAAAAAGTACGGACTTTGCATTTAAAATATATATAAGCTAACTAAGCTTAGAGAAATCTCATTCAAATCGCTACACAGATTAAAAAGGTTTAAATAACACAGCTAGTTTGGATTGGATTCTTTAATGTTATCAATCGCAATGTGCTCTTTGTTTTTTAAGGATGTACTGTTTGGCAATCAATTTATATTTTATTATGAACCTATTATTACTTCTTGCAAAATGTCATATTCACCGCAGTAAATTCACTCATTAAAATCCTTGATTTATTATTTTTAAAAAAGAGATTCAACAATATATCCAAACGATTTAATCTTAAAGCTGTTAAAACAGTTCATTTATTTAATCTTTTTAATTAATTTTGTTAAAGCTTTCATTTTGTATTATTTATATATTGTTATATACATGTATAAACGGTGCTTTGCATGAAATGTCACCGTTTTGTACGTAATGTTGATATCTTCTGTACTAATATCTTTGGTACCTTGGCATTAATAATAATAATAATAATAATTTTAAAAAGTCCTCCAGGGACATTCGTACTTATGAGTTGATAAGTTATTATTACGAAGTCAGGTGCGTTTGAGTCGCTTTGGTCAGAACAAGATGCCGATTTAACTTTTCTACATAAAATTCAACGATTTTTAAAACTCTACATCTGCAAAATGATGAATAAAGAATGTGAATCATTCTGTTTTTGCTTTTTTCTGTTTGTATTCAATTTGTAAACCGAGTCATACCATTTTTATGTATATGTAAAACATAGTTAGTGCTGTCAAACGATTAATCGCGTTTTATTAAAATATATATTTTGTTTTAATTGTGTAATTTTTCATTTATTAAATCTACCAAGTGAAAATAATAGTACTGTCAAAGCAGTGGTTCTCATACAGGTGGTTTGCAGGTCTGTTCTGACATTAAATGGAAAGTAAAGTGAAAATAAACATAATTTGGCAGTATTCTGGCACAAACAGGCTAATACTAATACAACACTTAGGCCAGTGTTTGCACGATGTCTTGGGAAAGTAAATTACAATTCTGCTACTTTGGATTTCCAACTTTGTCAAAAATCTGTGTTTTGGCACTGTGTTGCTCCTCACTGGATCCTAAAACAAAACCAGTTGAAAACCACTCATCACTTTACATTGTGAAATAATAAATGAAACTCTTTCTACCTATGTAACTTACTCTGGTGGCGTGGGTGGTACACCTGACGGTCAGGTCTTCGTGGACGCCGAGGGGTGTTGGTGTGTCTGCGCTCCTGTTTCTCCTTAGCCTGTTTTACCTCTCTGTCATAATCATCCCTGTAGAAAGATTAAACATTAATGTATATTTAATCTGTTGTACACAATTTACTACACGCCGTCCATCATCTGATTGATAGTATTAGTGCTGTCAAACGATTAATCGCGTCCAAAATAAAAGTTTTTGTTTACATAGTATGTGTGTATGTACTGTGTATATTTATTAAGTGTATAATACACACACATGCATGTATATATATTTCAGAAAAATGTTACATTTATATATTAAATATATTTATATATAAAATAAATTTTATGAATATATACAAGTAAATATTTTCAAAATATATGCTGTGTGTGTATATATAAATAATAAATATACACTGTACACACATATATTATGTACACAAACTTTTATTTTGGATGCGATTAATCGCGATTAATCATTTGACAGCACTAATTTATTTAATATATAAACATAACATGCTTTTCTGAAATATATACATGCATGTGTATTTATATATATATATACATAATAAATATACACAGCACACATACATATATTATGTAAAGAAAACTTACTTTAGATGTGATTAATCACGATTAATCATTTGACAGCACTAACAATAATATAATATGTTGTATATGTAAAACTTAGTTTTATTGTACATTACAAAAAACGATAATTTTATTAATTTCAACAAATTTACCATCAGTACAGACGCAGCATATGTATAGTCTTTGGCTGCTCCATTGCATGCGATGTGTTTTTTCACTGACACGCCCCCAACTCTGAAACTCTGGGCTTAAAGAAAAGTTAGAGTTTCCCACTCGTAATAACGAGTTTGTGGTGGCGTTCATGTGCGTGTAACTGAGCGCTGTGCTGTGTGTGCAGGTGCGGCGCAGATCCGGCAGGTGCGGACAGGTGTGGTGACGCATCTGTGTGCGGATTACGGCCTGATCGATCACAGCGTGTATTTCACATCGGGAGTGGTGCTAGGAGGAGTCGTGCTGTGTGTGGGAGACTCGGTGCAGGCTCTGGCAGTGCGGGAAGGAGCCCACGGACAGTGGAGGGCGCTCCGGGTGAGAACAGGCTCCAAAAATCATCAATAATAGCCAAAAATCACCTGCTGTTGTGCTCAAGATCATTAGACACGAGTGAATGCTTCGTCACATTTTCTCAGTAACAGAAGACACTACAGTGTAATACTTTTTGTCTTAACTCTTCTTGCTCTTAAAGGGATAGTTCAACCAAAAATGAAAATTCAGTCATTAATTACTCACCCTCATGTCGTTCCAAACCCGTAAGACCTTCGTTCACCTTCGGAACACAAATTAAGATATTTTTGGTGAAATCCGAGAGCTCTCTGACCCTGCACGGACAGCAGCGCAACTGAAATGTTCACAGGTCTAGAAAAGTAGTTAGGACGTTGGTTAAAATTGTTAATGTTGCATCAGGGTTTCAACCGTAAAAGCTAAACGAGAATACTTTTTGTGCGCAAAGAAAACAACAATATCATCAAAAATATCTTAATTTGTGTTCTGAAGATGAACGGAGGTCTTACGGGTTTGGAACGACACGAGGGTGAGTAATTAATGACGGAATTTTCATTTTTGGGTGAACTATCCCTTTAATTGGCTGTTTGTGTTTAAAACAATAAAACAGAAAGATATAAAGAACACTTTTGCGAACAGACTATGCAACCGAACTGACTAACATCAGAACAATAACATGCATTACACATTCAACGTCAGTGTCCAACTATTTCAAGCACTTTTTAACATTTTCTATATGCTTTCTGGTTGGTTTGTTCAAAAACAGCAAACTATTATTTACACCGTGTCATCTAACATATATAACTCAACATTAACAGTTACCATCTTTATACTAATTTGAAGGGCTTTGATGACGTATCTGTGAAAAAAGATGAGCTCAAAGGCTGTTTGAGACCGTTGAGCCAGAAGAAGACTCTGTTGTTTAACATTTTAAACGAACAAACAAACAAAAAAATCTTTGACAGACGTAGTCTTTGACGAGGTCTAAATATATACAAATACACAAACTAATAAAAGTAGGTAATTATGTCTGAAAACACAGTTCTCTAAGCAACTAGGGATTGCACAATCCTGTTTATGCGTAAATATGGCTATACTGACATGGTGTTAGATTTGATTCTGTTTATTTCTTAGCATAAATATACCTCTTTATTGGTTTTTAAATGCATTTGCTCTTTTTTTTTTAATTTCTATACTGCATTCATTGAAAAATTTTATAAAATGTTTTTTTTTTTTATAGAAATGGTGTATAATTTTGGGGTGAATATTGTTTGCAAGTTACTAAACATATTGACACTGTGCATGTTTGTGCAGGTAGATCATATTTTAATCACCTTAAAGCTTGCAAATTATTTATCAAAAGAAATAGGCAGAGTTTAAAAGGAACTGTGTACCAAATTACTCGATTTCATTATTAATTGAATTGGCTCATTAATTTAATCTCAAAAGCACTAATATTATGTGTGTCTCTTATTTCTGGAGTACATTTCAGTGATGTTTTTCTGTTGTTTTCAGGTGGAGCGGCACAAGGACGCCTGGGAGAGCGGCGGGTCAGAGGCGCTCGCGCTGGACACTGACAAACTCAGGCCTCTGATTGGAACAGTGACGTCATGTGATCGAGACGGAGGCTACATCAACCAGACGACGTATTTCCCGCGATCGGCTCTCTGCGAAGGTCAGAATCAGTGGCTTTAATGCTCCGCAGTCTGCTGTGATAGGATGATGTTTCAATCTCAGTGTTCATATATGAATATAATGAATATATTAAAAGGGCTCTTGTCATGCATTAGTCTTGCAGTTCATTGCACGGTGAAAACACACTGTACATCCTCCCCAGTCTGGAAAGAGTATGTAACGTATTTAAATTACTGGACTGATGCTGCAACTTTGTGTCATGACAGAGATAAATGCATGTGAACACAACGGCCCGTGTCAATGACACACTCGTGCCCAAACTCGTAGGAATTTCTTTCTTCTGTAACACAAAAGAACATATTTGTAGTAGCTTTTTTTGTCAGTTATAGTCAATGAGGTCCAACAGATTCAAGCTCCAAAAGGGACATAAATGTGATCCATACAGATGTAATCACCTGCTGTGATGAACAGAGAAAAAAAATTGCTATTCACTTGCATTACTTGCACTAATTAACACTGTTACCAATCAAATTAAATCAGTATCAACATAATCCATCTTACCATTTATCAAAATGCATTCACACGGCAAATGAATATGCATATTATAATATATGCAATAAATATATATATGCATAAGTAATGTAATAAGATTAATCGTTTTAAATATAATTTTGTGACTATAGAAATATGAAATGATAATATTATATATTACCCACCAGTAGGTGGTAGCAAGCCAGAAGTGAATCAAAGAATCATTAATTCGACTGATTTGTTTAAACTAATTCATTCATAATCGTGAACAAGCAAGTGACCGCTGTCTTTATGAATGAGTCATTGAATCATCGACTCACCCGATTCAATCAAAAACACTGAATCGTTCAAAAACAAAATAGCATTCTTGGTTGCTGCCAAATGCAGCCGGTCTGCCGTTTGAAACAATTTTTGTTGCTGAAATAGAACACTAAAAATTGTCAATTAATATAATTAACCTAACTGTTAATTGAACTGGTGTATAAAATCACGTGCAATCTATATTCGAAAAATATTCTGAAAATTAGCACTCATGTGATATTTCTTAACTATATTATGTTATTATAAGCACAAAAAACAAATGCACACAGGGGCAATTCATATATTGAGTTTTGGGGCATTTTTTTTTTTAACTTGGTGGCTTTTCTGACTTTGCATGATGCTATTTTATGTAACTGAAATATGACAGACCTTTTACAAGGTGAGCAAGCTATGTGCTGTGTTTAACAGAGTGTGTGTGTTTCAGGGTTCGAGCCGGTGAAGGGCGACTGGGTTCTGGCGCAGTATTTCGTCTGTCCGTCTGAATGGAGCAGTCAGGCTCGAGCGGTTTCTCCTCTGCGATACCGGCGCATGGATGGGGTCAGTCACCATCAGCTCTCACTGATGTCCTGACCTGTGCCAATCAGTCTAAATCAAACCTCTTCTAGGGCTGGCCGATAAATCGATAATGATAATTATCGCGCGGTATAAATTTCCTCGATATACGATAACAAGAGTTCGATAAAATGTTCGAGGCAAAGGCGGAACGAAAGAGCAGTGTTGCCAACTTAGCAATTTTGTTGCTAAATTTAGCAACTTTTCACACTACCCTAGCAACGTTTTCTTCCAAAAGCACCTAGCAACAAATCTAGCTATTTTTAACATTTATCTGGCAACGTTTAGCAACTTTTGATAAGTGACTCGGACAATAAAAAGGCACACGTTTTCCATCCAAATTACACAAAAAGAGTAAACCGTAGATGCTTAGCAGTACACACATTGTGAATTAAGTTATATACTGCTATATGCAATTATTCAATTTAATAATAATAATTTAATAATTGTTAATTTATGATGCACTTTGTTAGTAGCTTGTATCTGCGATTTGTTGATCAGTTAGTACACTGTAAGAAAAATGGAAAAGTTACTAGTAATTTTCCAGGACATTATCCGTTGTAACTCTGTAACCTCGAAAACAATGCAAAAGTAAAAATGCAGGTAAAAAAACAATTCGGAATTTTTAAAAAATATTGACATAGTAAATTGTGCCTTATTTTTACAGACTCTTCTTAGAGTGTAGCATACTAACTAACTACTAATACACTGCTTAAAGCATAATTGTTGAGAATGTGTAGTATTACTAGTTTACTAGCTATTAGAAAAAACTTAAATTGTAATCATTCAAAAATGCGTAAGTGTTCAATAATTTAATGTATTTTTAAAAAACGGTTATTTCTATTTTAATATTATATTATGCATATTATTTTACAAACAAATCTAAATTAACATATATAAAATATGTTTTTTGCTGAGATTTGATGCTGTGACAATTTTGCGTCGTGGTTACGCAACAACATCATTTAGCAACTTTTAGCAACAAATCGACCTTCTTTAGCAACTTTCTCTATTACATTTTTACCATGGTATTGGCATGCTATATTTGTGGTTTTAACTGTGATTATCATGATCTAAATGTATGCTACTATGGGAAGACCAATTAGTTAAAAAAAACAAAACCCTCAAACAGTCAGAATGATTAAATTTCTCCATATAAAAGTGAGGTTGCTACAATTTTTACAGATATACCTGGTTTTGATAATGAACATAAATCTACATCTGCATCCTAACTCAAGCTACTATCAGATGTGTATTTCTAAGAGAATGTTTTATGTTTTATAATACTCATTAGAACATGCAGAACTAAGAAGTTATTTTCTTTTATTAAGATACTTATTTTGTGGTGACTGGAAAAGTGTAAAGAATTAAGAAACGTGAAGTGTTTGTCGTGTTCTGATCATAACGAATAGTTTAAAACCACAATTAACCGTCTGGTTTGTACAACTTTCACATCGGAGCAAAAATCAGCCTTTAAACTTGGAAGAAATAAAAATGTGACCTTTATCGTGACAGTTATTGATATCGACTGATGTGAAAAAAAGAACCATGGTGATAGTTTTTTGGCCATATGGGCCAGCCCTAGCTCTTTCCTAAATGACCAGTGGCTGTAAAGTGTGCTGTGTGTGTCAGGTGAGCGTGAGCGTCCTGCACGGCCGCAGCGGTGTTGTGGAGGACAGCGTGTTCTTCAGTCTGGACTCTCTGATCGTGCCGCCGGGCTTCAGACCCGCTCGGGGTGATGTGGTGAATGTGGTGGTGGTGGAGAGCAGTCAGTCGCTGTACAGCTGGAGAGCTCTGTGTATGACGCCCGTCCAGCACAGGTGACACTCAGTTACTGTGTAACAACAGATCTGGAGGAATGTAGCATTGCATCAGTGTCTCTGCAGTGAATGGGTGCCGTCGGAACGAGAGCTGATAAAAACATCACAATAATCCACAGCACTCCAGTCCATCAGTTAACATCTGGAGAAGACAAAAGATGAAACAAATCCAGCATTAAGATGTTTTTAACTAAAACACGAGTCCATAATAACCATAGATGCAAACTCCTCACCTTTCAGTGACAACTCACGTTTTTCAGATCAAAATAGGTCACCTATGAGATTTCCTTAGATCCAATGAGAAAGTGTTTTTATGAGGGGCTTTTCATGACTAGTTTTTTCTTCAAGACTGGTCATAACTTTTTGAATTCAGTTATGAATAGGTAGATTGGTCTTAGTTGTATTGGAAGAGTAAGACTGATAACCACTTGGCAAACTAGTTCTTAAGACGCAGTCTTAACCTGGTGCCTAAGTTTATGTGACTAGCCCCTGGTTGTTTCAGTAAGTTTTGTATAGTATTTTCTTTACTCTTTACTTCAAAAACTATGTCTAAAAAGGGTAATATTTTATGTATTTGAGGTCTGAGATGTGGGAACGGTGAAGAGCGAGAGAGAGGGCAAACATTTTGCATTTTAGGTCAGCATCAGCCAATATGGTCTTAAATAGCCTGCATAGCACTTCATCTTTTATAACATGGGTTTTTGACCAAATAAATTCAATCTTTATCTTTGTAAAATGTTGCAACAAGATGTAAAAAAATGTTTTTTGTGTGTGAAAAATTGCAGTTTTGGAGAAATCTGCACAGATCAAGCACTGTTTAAACAGCTCTAAACAAATATGTGACCCTGGAGCACAAAACCAGTCATAAGGGTCAGTTTTTCAAAATTGAGATTTGTGCATCATCTGAAAGCTGAATAAATAATCTTTCCATTGATGTATGGTTTGTTAGGATAGGACAATATTTGGCCGAGATACAACTATTTGAAAATCTGGAATCTGAGGGTGCAAAAAAATCTAAATATTGAGAAAATCATCTTTAAAGTTGTTCAAATGAAGTTCTTAGCAATGCATATTACTAATCAAAAATTAAGTTCTGATATATTTACGGTTCAAATGAAGTTCTTAGCAATGCATATTACTAATCAAACATTAAGTTTTGATATATTTACGGTAGGACATTTACAAAATATCTTCATGGAACATGATCTTTACTTAATATCCTAATGATTTTTGGCATAAAAGAAAAATGTATAATTTTGATCAATACAATGTATTGTTGGCTATTGCTACAAATATACCCCAGCGACTTAACACTGCTTTTGTGCTGCAGGCTCACATATGTGTGTGGATTTTGATGCGAGAGACAACAGGAGACGCACTTTTTCACTGGAGGAAGCATTATTATGGATTATGGAAGTTAAAAACATCTTGATGGGTTTGTTGCATATTTAAAATGTGAGTTTTAATTTAATAGCCTTAATAAAATCTGACTTATTCTACATGGATGGACTGATTTACAATGAGGACGGTAAACTATTGCTTTTGCTGTATCGGTCGAGGCAGCTTTATAAGTGACTGCTTGCACTCTCAGTGTTTACAGTATTTGTGGTGTTTCTCTGTGTGTGTTTCTGACAGTGGAAACGCCTCGGAGCTGAATATGCCAGACGATGAGGTGCAGAGATTGCTGGAGAATAAGGGTGGGCTCCAGGTCAGCCGGGAAAGCCACTTTGGGTCTCTATTACTGGGAAACCGCAAGGAGCTGCAGATCTGGATCCAGTGAGTTCACACATGCACACCTTAAGTCTGGAATACACTGCATAGCTTTTAAAATCTAAACCGATTTTTAAAACCCTAGGCATCATACACTTACCGACTTTGTAAATAGTGTGCTACCAGACTTTAAAGTTGTTCCGATCACAACAGACTCACACAGAAACAATGCGCACTGTTGCTAGTAGACGCGTGACAAATGAAAACAATGTGTGTTTTCAAATCGTCTGAAAGTATCAAACCTGTTTGATCTCCTCCTACTGGAAGGAATCAAAGTCTGAAGCTAAAAAAGTGTGTCTGTGACCATCATCATACCTAAGTTTGCAATTCGTAATACAATATTGATTGTTTTTGCTCAAGTTCGCTGACGAAGTTTCAATCAAAGCCACAGCAGAACTGTTTTGTGTCTCCGAGCAACACGATACTGAATGAATCCACGTTTTTGAACGAATCAAGTGAGTCAATGATTCAGTAACCCTTTCATAAAGACTGACGCCTCGATTCTGAATGAATCAGCCATTTGGATAAACGATTCGCTCATTAAAACAGTCATTTACCGTCATCTACTGGTGGTTTGGTTTCAAATTTAAAAGTATTGCATTTTTCCCAACATTTTAACAAAAATATTTAAAACATGAATCTTATAAAATTATGTATGCATTTGAAATGTTGTGGTGTAAATGCATTTATGGCAGCTCCGCTTCATCAAACAGTCTGTGTAAATGCATCTAATGCCACTTCAGATGCAGCTTTCTCTGCAGTGAACAGATGGAGTTTGTTAATAGTATGCGTTTTCTTTGCTCAAAAGGAAAAAAACGGGAAGAGAGTCTAGATCTGGTAGCCTGTCTTGCGTTAGTCATAACCAATCATAGCCATTATCTTTTCTAGATCTCGGCCAAATGTAGGCCTATTAAACGAAATAAAAAACTGTCAAGGCTTTAAAGACATTAAAGTATTTTTTCAAGATATTTAAGAATGTTTGCTGCTTGGTTAATAAACCGCTAGGCCGACTCGTATTAAATTGTGTTTTGAGAGGAAAAAACATAGCAGGCTGTAGACGGCGCATTTTATCATTACATTCAAAAATAATGCAGGTGAATAAAGCAAAATGTTTACAAACATTATAAACGCAACAAACGTGTAATGTAGGGCTGGGACGATAAATCGATGCAGAATCGATTCGTGGATCGATTCTTAGATTTTCAGAATGCATCGCGATTCCTCTGGAATCGATTCTGAGGTTTAGATTTCAGCAGCAGATGGCGCTCTACTCTAGTTTTTATCCGCACACTCAAACGCTCATGAAGAAGAGCGCTTGTGCGTTCGGCCGAGTCATGTAAAGTTAATTTCACCTCGGCTCAGAATGCTTTTATGATGTGAGATTAATGTAAACACAGCCCACTGTGAACACTTTTGTAAATCGCTTCAAACTTTTCGAATTTTATGAATGATTATTTTAGGTTCAAGTGTGTGTAAGGATTTGGAAACGAGCAGAGTACGGCTGTTTCTAAAGCATGCAGCGCCATCTGCTGTTCACAACTAAGCTCAGAATCGAATCGAGAGAGAATCGTGATGCATTCGGAAAATCTCAGAATGGATGCGGAATCATTTCTCGATTCGCGATGCATCGATTTATTTTCCCAGCCCTAGTGTAATGACCTACTTCTGATTAATTCATTCAAAGTTTGACAAATTCCGTGACATTCCTAACCCTAACCCTTATACAGTAAATTCCATTTTTATGACTGGATTCCGTCCGTGTTTTCCGCATCACGGAATGCATAGGGCCCTGAAGCTGTAAATGTTTGCTGGCTCCTGATGCATCTGTTGCTTCTCTCTCGTTCTGTGGTGCTCGACTCAGAAACAGCGGCTCTGAGCGCCAGCGGCTGAAATGCTGTGAGTTTGCCGGATGGGACTCGGCTCAGCAGTTCTGCCTCAGATCTGTGTCTGTGAAGAACAGCTCGCCTGCAGGAGGTCCAGCTGATGAAGAGTCGGTGCAGATGCTGGAGATGAAGCCCGGGGAGAGAGCGTCTGTGACTGTCTGCTGTCAGGCCAGGCGAGGACTACTCACTCATTATACTCCGGGATTTGATATGTTTTAAAAGAAGTATCTTTTGCTTAAGGCTGCATTTATTTGATCAAAAATAGAGAAAAAAGTAATATTATTACAATTTAAAACAACATTTTTCTGTTTAAAAAAAAACAAAAAACGTTAAAACTCTAATTTATTTCCGTGATGCGCAGCTGTATTTTCAGCATCATTACTCCAGTCTTCAGTGTCACATGATCTTCAGAAATCATACAGATTTATTATCAATATGCTTATTTACTGTCAATGTTGGAATTTTTTATTAATTTTTTTATCCTTTATTCAAGACTTCCATTAATAAAAAGTTAAAAAGAACAGCATTTATTCAAAACAGTTAAGACTTGTATTGTTAGAAAATATTTCTATCACTTTTTATCAATTTAACACATCCTTGCTACCAATTTTTTTTATTATTTTATATATTTTTTAAGCCCTGCTTTATGCAATTGACCAATATCGGTATTGGTATCGTATCGGTATTGGTATCGGAATCGGCCAATAGTTGTTTGTTAATATCGGTATCGGTATTGGTATCTGAATCAGCCAATAGTTGTTTGTTAATATCGGTATCGGTATTGGTATCTGAATCGGCCAATAGTTGTTTGTTAGCAGCTGTATTTTCAGCATCATTACTCCAGTCTTCAGTGTCACATGATCTTCAGAAATCATACAGATTTATTATCAATATGCTTATTTACTGTCAATGTTGGAATTTTTTATTAATTTTTTTATCCTTTATTCAAGATTTTGATTAATAAAAAGTTAAAAAGAACAGCATTTATTCAAAACAGTTAAGACTTGTATTGTTAGAAAATATTTCTATCACTTTTTATCAATTTAACACATCCTTACTACCAATTTTTTTTATTATTTTATATATTTTTTAAGCCCTGCTTTATGCAATTGACCAATATCGGTACTGGTATCTGAATCGGCCAATAGTTGTTTGTTAATATCGGTATCGGTATTGGTATCTGAATCGGCCAATAGTTGTTTGTTAATATCGGTATCGGTACTGGTATCTGAATCGGCCAATAGTTGTTTGTTAATATCGGTATCGGTATTGGTATCTGAATCGGCCAATAGTTGTTTGTTAATATCGGTATCGGTATTGGTATCTGAATCGGCCAATAGTTGTTTGTTAATATCGGTATCGGCCAAAAAAATCCTATCGGTGCATCCCTAGTATTTTCTTTACTCTTTACTTCAAAAACTATGTCTAAAAAGGGTAATATTTTATGTATTTGAGGTGTGAGATGTGGGAACGGTGAAGAGATAGGGCAAACTTTTTGCATTTTAGTTCAGCATCAGCCAATATGGTCTTAAATAGCCTGCGTAGCACTTCGTCTTTAATAACATGGGATTTTCACCAAATATATTCAATCTTGATTTTTGTAAAATGTTGCAATAAGATGATGTTCATAAAGACTTAATTGTTTCATTCCTGAATGAATTAGCTGTTCGAACGAATCAATTGAATGAATGATTCAGTGATAAAATCAGTGACTTGCTGCCACCTGCTGGCGGATTTAGTTTCATGTTTAGTGTATAATTTGTTATTTAAATCCTTTAATATTTCTGTATTCAAAATTTTATATTTAAAACATTAATCTCCACATGAATTTAATTGCACTCATGCCCCCTCTGAGCCTCATTAAACGTCTGGAAATGTACCTACAAGCCACTTTTGTGATCTTCTGTGCCACCTCTGTAGTACCAATTAATTTATTAATACTAATTTCATATGATTGGTAACTTATTTGTCTTATTCTGCTTAAGAAAAAAAAAAAAACGTTAAAAATAAAACTCAATCCACCAGCAGGTGGCGGCAAGTCACTGATTTTATCACTGAATCATTCATTCATTTGATTCGTTAGAATGGCTGAATCATTCAGGAATGAAGCAATTAAGTCTTTATGAACTGATGGAAATCCGTCGTAGCGACAGAACAATTTAATCCCTGAGATTTTTTTTTTTTGTGAAAAATTACAGTTTTGGACATATAAGGTAATAAAAAAAATACCTTAAAGTAACTACTACTAGGCATCTGTTTGCATCTCTGAAGTGAAGCGACACTGTGTTTGTGTGTCGTGCTCATTGCTGAAGATTATGGTGATTGTGCGTGTGCTTTACTGCAGGACTCTGGGTCGCTCCGCCGAGCTGCTGCTCCTGCACTTCTCCTCCTTCACCATCGGGAGGCGTCTGGAGGTGTCTGTGAGCAGCGCGGAGGAGAGTCTGCTCAAACCCAGCGTCCCGTACTCCGCTCTAACAGCTCCGCCGCAGCAGCAGCAGCAGCCCCTGCAGGTGCTCACGGTCACGGCCCCGCCGGCCCCCATCAGGTGAGGCCCCACACACATATATCACTGATTCTGGCCTCAGGTGCTTTTCCTTTCCTGCCAGCACTGTTGTGTCCATTTTTGTGTTTTTGAATTGTTCAGTCACCAGATATTAGTTGCAACTCTGTTTTAAGGCCAGAAACATACTAACACCAGTGCATTGCAAGTGTGCATCCCTCTGAACATACTTTGTGTATTTCATTCATGAGATGCAGACAAAAATATATTTATTGTGGCCACAAATTAGGAAATTCATGTTTATGGCCACATTGTAGCCTCATTTTAATTAAATTGAAATGAAAGAATAACATATTATAACATGGCCACAGTTTAATAAAACAAGGGAATGAATTAAGTTGTGAGGAATCATTTTTAATTCATGGCCACAATAAATATATTTTTGTCATGTCATATACGGTTCCATACTTCAAACTTTTATTAAAAAATGTAAAAGTGTAATATAAGTAGGATTGCAAAAAGGTGGAAAATTTCCAGTAAATTTAGGAAACATTCTAGAATTTTTTTGGAATATTCCAGGGATTTTTAGAGCGTGTTTCTGGAAATTTTCCACCCCTTTGCAACCCTAAATGTAAGCGGGTTTGTCAGTGTTATTTATTTGTTGTGAGAATAAGAATGAATCCACCATCCTCTAGCATTGGTTTTGTTCAAAGACAGAGAAAGATCTAATGCTAAAGATGAAGGTAAGCGCGACGGATCCTGAGTGTCATTGACGGATATCTTGTGAAATCTGTGCTGTAATGGTCTCGTCACTGGTTTTCGACAGACTTGCACGGCGGCATCTTCCAAACTTCTTGGGGAACTACGGTGTGCCTCAGGCTCTCAGAGATTGTGTGGAAGGCCAGAAGGACGTTCTGATCGCACAGCCGGCTCTGGCGGAGGTAATGCGCTTCTCTGCTGCGTCTCACACATGCAGATTCTTGACGCTCACTGCTCATTGTAGGGATGAAATCAGTTTGATTTTCTCCAAGTGGGCGGGCAATATGCTAATGTTTCATGTTGATGTCAACATGAAACATTAGCATATTGCCCGCCCACTTGTTGCGCGCGCAGACCCGGGAAAACATGAAATGCAAATTCATTCTTTGCCACTAGGTGCCGCTTTTAGAGCAGTAATAATAGCTGTTTCCCGGGTAACGCTGTACACAAAGCAGCACTGCGCTCACAAACGCTGCTTTATCAGGCATGATACAATCGGACCAATCACCGCAGATTAGCGTCACGCAAAGGAGGGGTTTGGAAAAATGAATCGTTGAGCGAATCGTTTGGGAGTCGTTCCGCAAATAAGGATAAAAATAAATGCACATTGCAAGACAGTGAAAGTGTTTTTTGACCTTGCATGCATGTCAACCTGTTGTTGGGGACGCCCAAAACCAAAATATGAACCTTTCATTACCCATAATAGGGGCACTTTAAATTTAATTTCAGTAATCTAAAAGCATGTCTAATTAATTTAAATCATGAAATGTGTACAATTTAACAAATATGTATTACGTGTAACAAAAATTTAATTGGAAATCAGTTTTATTTTTCCAAATTCTGTTTATTTTTAAGGTTTCTGTTTTAATGGTTTAATTGAACTTTAATAATCAGAAAGCATTAATAATAAATTGGATTAATAAAACCTAATTAATACAATTGAAGCATTTATAAACTTTTTTTTTTTGTATTTTTTTTTTTTAACTAATAATGGGACTCTTTGAAATATCTTGTTTATAAATTCTGTGTTGTCTGTTTTCATTTTTTTTTTTTTATGATACAATACAAATTTATTATAAAAAAACTGGTAATCATTGACATATGGGGCAATGACGTGATGCCTAAATTTTCTGTCTGATTGCATTTTGTCAGTAAAAAATTGGTTTAAATGCATAAAAAAAGATACCATATATATATATGAAGTACCTCTCCCATGTATCTACCCACTTTAACTTTTCAAAAAAAAACATAATTTATTTGTAATTTTTCTCTTATTTAAAGTGTCAAAATATCATGTGGTACAACCGTCTGACCATAACTGCTGTTTTGGAAACATCTTTGAAATCACCCTAAATTTATTCAGATTAATTTTCTGCACTATTTGGCACGATTTCCAAAGTGTTTTGTAATCCTGTACAAAATTGCGAAGCATTTGTATTTATATTTCCATCATAATATACAAACAAACACTGTCCGATGTCCATTTTATGAAATGTCATGTGGTGCAACCATCAAGAAACTACCACTTTGGGACTTTTATGTTGAAATCCATTCAAAGATAGGATGTTGCATTATATGCCAATTTGCCAAGGACCCATGAAAGCATCAAGCAGGTTTGTAACTCTTTCAAATTTGGGAAAAAAATAACCTTTTTAATGGCAGGTATGTAGTTAACACATTTGGATATCGTGTGGTATGACCTCAAAAAAACAATGAATATTAAGTATTTATTTTTATTATAAATTTCATAGTGACCTTTTGTGGGAAGCTGGCTTGTTTTGTTCAGGTGGCCAATTCTGTGCTTGTACATTTTGACTGAATTTGAAAATATCGTGTGGCACGACCACTCCCGAGTGCTATGGCCAATTCATGTAGATGAAAAAGCACTAAAACCACTTAATTTAAAATTTTAATATGAATTTGTGTACACAGCATTCTTACTGTTTGAACAATTACAATAGATATTATGCTTTTGTATTTTAAAATAGGCCTGTCGAAAATCTGTCAATACATCATTGACCCAATTTATTAAAAAGTTGGTAATTATTTGACCATAACTGACACGCATCACCTTTTAATAAGAGCTGTTGTTGTGGTGTGTTTCCGCAGCCCTTGAGCCTGTCGTGGATACTGCCGCGTTTCTCGGCTCTGCTGTGGCTGGAGGAGCTGCAGGCCGAGAGGGAGATCCGAGAGTTCAGTCTCACCGGCGCCATCCTCAGGAAAGGAGCCGTGTATCTGCACCTGGAGGTGCCAGGCCTCGCCGAGGGCCGGCCGAGCCTCTTCATCGGTCAGGACGCTCTCTTATAATCTAGGGTTGGGTATCGAGAACCTGTTCCATTTCTGAACTGGTTCCCGATTTCCAAGAACCCGGTATTTGATAAGACACGTGCATTTCGATTCATTCCGCTTAATGATTCCTGCGTTCGCATTTTAATGTGATTTTAAATGAGGAAGGGCATTAACTTGCGCACTGTTTGCGTGCAGCGCACAGAACAGCGGTCCTGGTGCGGATTCCCGGTTTGTGTCTGTTCTCGAACCGTTCCGTGCATTTCCACTTTTCTTTAACATTTACCGACCAGTATGCAGTAAAATGCATCAGTATATCATCATAAACACAGGGGTTTTTGTCTTAAGTAAACGTAAATCGATGAGAAAGAAAACGCACGTGTACAGTATTTTATAAAACGGAGAGTTCCGGTGCTTGATTCTGATTGGCTGAGCCGCGTTCGAAGCTGTTGTAAATGACCCTACAAAGTAACATACACCTTTGTTTACGTTTGTGTGTTGCTCGGCAACCACTTTGTTGCAACCACAACTGTTTCTGAGGAGCTACATTGTTTGGTGGAAGAATACTGTTTTTATTAATATCATTACACTTTATTTGCTCTGTTTTATTTTGTGAAACCTTACTACGTATATGAATAACCGTTTTATAAAAGCAATAACTCAATTTCTGTACCTGAAATTAGTTCAGTTGTATTTATTTATGCTGTTGCTAATTAATTAGCTCTTTCCTAGTTTATTACTGACTGTTTGCTTGTCTTTAATAATTTAATGTTTGAAATTCATATTAGTCGAGTTGTTTTTGCTGTGGTATTTAAAAAAAATTTTTTTTTAAATGTGTGAAATGAAACGTCACCGGGCCTTTGGCGCCCTCTGCAGGTGTTTGTTATAACACATAGTGTACTTAAGGTTATGTTCATATTATGTGTAGGCATATTACATTATGTATTTTATCAGTGTTGTTCAATACAACCATGTAATTACTTGGTTTTGATACTTTATTTGAGCCAATTATTATTGCCTCATCGTTAGTTTCTATATAAATAGTCATACTAAAACCTGGTTTTCACTTGGGTCTGTTTGTGTAAGTATCTGTATTTTGTCTCATCTCGTGAGCTAAGTGTATTGTCACACCCCTAGAGTCGATAAGCAGTGATATAGCTTGTAATTTTCCAAGTGTATGATACAGCTTTCATTCTTCAGGTCAATCATATATTCATGAAAAAAAAATCAGTTTGAATAAAGAAAGCAATAGCTTTGTCGTAGCATCTTTTCAAATGTTAAAGTTGCCACAGTTATTGCATGCTTTGCATGTGCTGCCCACCGGAAAAAAAGTTCAGGCTCTTTTGCTTTAACCCCTGTAACGATCTCAAACTGGACCAGAAAGTCTTAAATTCATGAAGTCATGGCATTAAATGTTGCATGCACTGCAAAACATGAATATTTTTCCCGGTATCTTTTGTGTTGTTTTCCAATATTTAAACATACATAAATTAAGATGTATTTTCTGGAGATGCAAAATGAATATATAAAGTCTTGTTTTCAAAGAAACTGAACAAAATGAAGTGAGTTTATGCTTAAAACAAGAATATCTGTCAATGAGGAATGAAAACTTGTTTTCGAACAAAACCGAAATCTGTTCTTGTTTACGATGAACTTCATTTTGATAATTTTTTTTACCTGTTTAAATCATTTTGCTTCTCAATATCTTGATTTTTAGAATTTTTAGTCATTTGCACTGGAAAACAAGACAAAAATACTGAGGAAGAGCATCATTGTTTTTGCTATGTGATCAGAAGATACAGTAAAAGTTATTGTTTTTTGTCAAATGAATTGAAAAGTAATGGAGATTGTTGGAAACTTTGCTAGTACAACTTGACATTGTGTTCCATTCAATTTATTGCTTAATGTTCTTCTCTTGCTCTTAAAAAGGTGGTTAATTTACTTTAATAAAGCCTGCAGAAACCCTCTACCAGTCGGTTGTTGCGGACCTTTATGAATGTCTTCTTGTGTTGGACGTTATGTGGAAGCCTTGTTGTGTGATTGATTGACAGCTGTCAGTCACATGTTCTGTGCATCGGCTCTCGCAGATCAGCGACGAGGACGTGAGTTTACGAGTGAACGCTGATTTTCAGAAGAACTACCTCGGAGAACCTCTGGACGTGGAGTTCTCCTTCAACAGGTGCGCTGCTCGCTTCAGCTTCATAAAGCCTTCGTTTTTCATGATTAGACCAGAAATCTCACAGGAATAACCCGTTCTGTCCAGGCTGACCATGAGGAGGTGCCACTGTGCTCTGGAGCAGAGCAAACACTTCGGAGACCACAGTAAGACAACACTTTGTACAGAAGTTAATTATCATAACTAATCTAAAATTACAGTTGCTAATAGATGTAAATGGATAAGCGATGGTCATATGTTGAAGCGTTTGATCTTTCCAATTTTTAAATTTTTTTTATAAAAATAAATACAAATATGCATGGGTTAAATGTATGCTATAAATGACCGCAAACATAGAAATAGGTCACCGTGACATTTAAGAAAACGCTTAAATAGAAAATGTGTCCTGTGCTGGCGAAATGAGTCACAATGAGCACATTTTCAAAAATGAGTTATTTTTACCCTTCAAAATGATGTATGAGTTGGAATCGGACGAAAAATGACTGAGCTACACTCATTTGAAGTCAATATAGTCAGCAAAGTCAGTTCTGAGAAAAATAGTTAAAGTTTTCTGAAGGTTCCAAAGCAAAATCACCTGCAACATTGTATCTTTTCATCCAGTTCTGTTCTTAATAACCATTGCTATATTAATAATCACAATATAGCTATTTTTATTTCATCGATAAATAAGAGCAGATGCAAAAAAGAACATATAAAAGGAAACAAGTGTAGTATATTACTTTTTTCATTTCACTAAACAAAAGCATCAAAGGTAAAAATTAGTGTTGTCAATCTATAAAAAATAATCACATTTTTTCTGAAATTAATTGCGATTAATCGCGATTAATTCCACCTAACATTAAAATTTTTATAATTATCTTTTATTGCAATTTCACATTCAATCCTAAAATTAATGTAGAAACAACAAAGACAGTATATTTTTAATATTTGTATAATGGCATCTTTTTGTTTGTTTGACTGAAGGCCAGTATCACTGATACCAGTACTACTGATGTCTCTATGAAATAGTTTTTCCCCCTAATATTTACCCATTGACTAGCCATTCAACATTACAGTATAATTGAGAGATATCAAGAGTTATCAAACACAACATTTTAAATTAAATATACTGTAGATGAATCCTTAAAGCTACAAAAGTTATTGATTTCCTCTTTTGTTCTTTGATGAACCGACATCACAGCAGCTGGTTATTAGCTTTTTTTTGGCTGTTTAAGAGACGTGGCACAGATCTGACATGCATCGGGTTTTTTTTTCTCACATTTCTATACATTTTCTGACCCACTTCAGGTCTTAGTCTCTATAATGAGCTGAGGAGTTGAATCGATCGGGTGTTAGATGAGGCAGACAGTGCTGCTGCTCCAGGACCGTTTGGAAAACCACTGCATTTCAGAGACATGTTCTTAAATCGCTTTAATCGCCTTTTTGGTAACTTCATGACTTGACTGACGTGTCTAAAACGTCTTGATGTGGTTGTAAAGACGTTCTGCATTTTTGTGAAAACCTCAAATTGGACTAAAATCGCCATTTTTAACTTTTTTTGCCCGTAGCTCAAAATTAGCCCGTGTGCATTCACACTCATTTTGCCAGAACGGGTCACAAATGAAGGAAGTTTTGAGTTGGTTTGTATGGAGACGCAGTAGTTCAGATGTGTTGTGTTGTCTGGGTTGAGTTTTGTTTCCCAGCATGCTCTTGCTGCAGCCGCCTCAGTGGAGCGGAGAGTGGAGGGAAGAGGACCGACATCTTCAAGAGGAGGTGACCCCGTGATCATTAATTCATCAGAGTCTGTAGTAAATGATCATGTGATTGACGAGTCTGTGTTCTGATTCTGTCATCAGGAGAACGAAGCGACCCAAAAAACAGACGGCTCATCGACACTGACTGCAGAGATGGTGTCTGTGGCCACACAAACTAAACCAGGTGACTGGATTAAAAAACAACAACAGCAAAAACAATTAGGCTAGGGATGGGCGATAGAGGCTTAAAAATATATCACAATAATTTCTGCTAATTATTGCGATTAACGATATCAATGATGATAATTCAGGGAATCTTATGCATCCACTAAGAGACTAAAGAGTTTCTTTAGAGAACAGTATTTTCTTTCCTATTTTTACCCAAAATAGGGTGTTGTGAGCATTACAGAGTACACGTAATGTAATGGGTGTTTAATTCATACTGGAAGCCAGAGGGCGCTCTTGCGCAGAAACTACACGCATGCATCACAGAAGTAATAAGATGCTCCAGGAAATCCCTAATATGGACAAATGTATCCAGTTATCCCTGAAGCTGAATAAAACGCAGATAGAGAAATTTTAACTGAGGAAACTTAAAGACAATAAACATACGATTGCGACAATATATGGTTTATCTGTGTTCTTCAAGCAGTCTTAGGTATTTTTATAAGGATGAAGTATGTTTATAATGCAGTACTAATCGACATAGCCTTTATCACTGTATATATAATACTATAAAATAGTATGATTTCTGCCTCATTCTGTGATTTGAAACTGATCATAAAGTTATTTCAAACACTCGACTGATGTTACGAAGTTAATTTGGAGAAAGAGCATGTCAAAAAAGAATATCTTTGTGACAACAGGTGTGTAAACAGGCTCATACACATGCAAAACTGTATTGCACAAGTGCTACTGTAGTACATTTATTCATCGCTCGGACTGATTTTTGTCGCACTGTACAGCCCTGAACAAACCAGTTCCAGATTGAAGAAGGAGCTCCTCATTTAGCGATAAACTTCTGCGATGTCTCTCCGCACGGTTGCACACAGAAATATGTTAACAACTAGATTTATCGTTATTATCGCGGGAAGAATAGTTCTTATTGTGGGGAGAATTTTTACTGGTCCTTTTAATTTCAATATGCAAACATCATGACTATTGCACATTTTTACCCTGATTTAGACACAAAAATGTCATTCAGTGTAATGGTAGTTCATATACCAAAAAATCTTGTCAGGCATATTTAGAGCAATAATTATCTTCTAATTTAGGATCACAGCAGACCCTGAATACTAATGAATTATCATTATATTATGCTGCAGCTATATTTCCTTTTGAATTGGACACTGTGTGATTTCAGATGTATGTGCCGTTTCAGATTTGACAATGACAGCGAAGCGCATCCCAAACCCTGGCCAGTTCTTCAACGCTCAGCTGAATCCGGCGCAGAAAGAGGCGGTCAAACGGATCCTGAGTGGAGAGTGTCGTCCCACGCCATACGTTCTGTTCGGGCCTCCTGGCACCGGGAAAACCATCACTCTCATAGAGGCCATTCTGCAGGTACAACACCAGTCACTGCAGATTGTGCTCGAGGCTGGGAGTCTGTGAGGCAGAGCCATTTAAAATAAACTATTCAATATTTAAGAATTGTACAAAGTTGCCCAGTTCATCTCTAAACATGAGTGCATTCTCTTCAACATTAATCTAGCGCTGTCAGAACAAATACAGGGAATATAATCAAACAATGCGGTAATTGTCTTGTGTTTTTATCTGCTGTCATATTTATGAGAACATGCAAACAAAGATTGCATGCACTTTTTTTTCCTCACGTTAATCATCTGTTGCTGCATAACGTAAAAATTGTATGTTTTGGTTTTTTCAGAATGGTACAAAAGTCCTGTGAACACAAGAAAAAATCAGATTGAGGGCATGCTTCACAAAGTTTAAATAGTCCTAAAAATAGCCACACTACAAGCCATATTACAAAAATATTAGTACTATAAAATTCCCTAAAAATGGAGTCCCCTAAACATTAGGTACATTGATTTAATTCCAAGTCATTTTCGACTGAGGAGCACCAGAGGGTTTTAAAGAGATTCACAATCGTGTGCTTGAATTATCTCTGATTCTGTTTATCAGGAGGAGTAGTTAAGAATAAACTATGCAAGCTGTGCAGGAGCAGCAAACAACCTGCAAACCTGAACCCCTGCTTTACTTCTGAATTAAATATGTGCATGCAGCCAGCAATTCTTTTCTCTTTTTTTCTTTTTTTTTTTACCAGCAAAATCATGCTTAAAATGTGTGAATAGCATTGTGTTGGATAAAAACTTGACTAAAACACCTGCTGATTCAGTGACACGGAGCAAAAAATGAGTAAAAACGACACTAGTGAAGAGAAACTCCTGCAGCATTTGAGACGCACATAAAAACACTTGTTCTGATGAATGACAGTCACATATTTAACGTGCAAATGCATTTTGGGGCTGTTGTACTTTTTTCATAATTTTTTTTTTTTTTTTTTTTTTTGTAGATGTGGTTTATGATGTGCATTTGTTGTTTTGCATTCCTCATGACAATAAATGGATAGGTTAAATGTAAATGGGGGAAAACTCATCACTGAATTTCTAATCTAAGCACTGATGGCAGTGTAAATTCATTTCATTCATTTCTTTCTTTATTGTCTTATTGTCATAAGGAGAAATTTGTCTTGAGCAGTCAAGAGCGCAGATTAACTTGCACACACACTCACTCACACGCACGCACACTCTCTCTCTCTCACTCTCTCTCTCT